CTTCGGCTTTGCGTGGACTTCCGCAGTCTCAACCGCATCACCAAGAAGGACCGCTACCCTCTGCCGTTGATCTCAGACCTCCTCAACGCTCCGAAACGAACTAAAATCTACACCAAATTGCACCTCGCTCACGCTTATCATCTAGTCAGAATAGCAGAAGGTGATGAATGGAAAACCACCTTTCGGACCCGCTACAGCTCTTATGAATGGAAGGTTATGCCGTTCGGCCTTACGAATGCACCTGCTGCTTTCCAACATTTTGTTAATGACATTTTCTCTGACATGCTAGATGTTTGTGTCATTGTCTACCTCAACGACATTCTGATCTACTCTGACATGCCGGAGGAACACCGAGAACATGTCAAGGAAGTTCTTTGGCATCTACGGAAACATCAGCTTTACGCCAATCCTGACAAATGCAAGTTTAATATGGATACCGTTGAGTATTTGGGTTATATTCTTTCTCCTGACGGATTGACCATGTCCAAAGAGAAAGTACAGACCATTCTGGAATGGCCTGTTCCTAGGAAGGTTAAGGACATTCAGTCCTTTCTGGGTTTTGCAAACTTCTATCGTCGTTTTATTTATAATTATAGTGATATTGTTGTGCCAATGACTCGGCTTACCCGGAAGGGCGCTCCCTGGATCTGGGACAACAATTGTCAAGAGGCTTTTGAAAACCTCAAAATTGCTTTTACTTCTGCGCCTATTCTCACTCACTGGGAACCCAATCGTCCTATCATTGTGGAAACTGATGCTTCCGATTACACCATTGCAGCGATTCTCTCCATTCAGACTGTTGACAGTGAAATTCATCCTTTAGCCTTCCTCTCCAGAACTCTTCACACTGCGGAGTTCAACTACGACACTCACGACAAAGAGCTCCTTGCCATCTTCGAAGCCTTCAAAGCTTGGCGCCATTATCTGGAAGGTTCCAGCGATCCTGTGGACGTCGTCATCGATCACAAAAATCTTGAGTATTTTTGTACTACCAAGATTCTCACCTGTTGACAGGTCCATTGGTCAGAGTATCTCCACCAATTCAACATGGTAATTCACTTCCGACCAGGGAAGCTCGGTGAAAAACCAGATTCGATAACTAGATGCTGGGACGTCTATCCCAAAGAGGGGGATATTGGCTACACGCAAGTCAACCCTCACAACTTCCGACCTATCTTCACTAATGAGCAACTGACTACTTCTCTTCGAGCTACCTTCTTAGAAGGCCCGATGCTCCGAGCCTCTATCGTTATGGATATCGAAGCTCTGCACCAAGCCATCATTCTCGCTCTTCCGAAGGACCCGAGCTCTGTTGTTGGTTTGGAACTTGCAAAAGATCCTTCTAATGAACGTTGGAGCTTAGGTAGTGATGGGTTACTATCTGGGCTCTTGGCAAAGTGCTCTCCATGGAACTTCATTATACCTCTGGATATCATCTCGAAGCCGATGGGCAGACCGAGCATGTCAACCAAACTCTCAAGCAGTACATCAGGATCTATTGCTCCTACCAACAAGATGACTGGTCGCCTTTACTCCCGATCGCCGAGTTCGCCTATAACAACGCTCCCAATGCTTCCACAGGTATTACTCCATTCTTCGCTAACAAAGGATACCACCCAAACATCACCGTTCGGCCCGAGGTCGATATGAAGTCTGATCTAGCTAGAGACTTCGTCGTCAACCTTGATGAACTCCACGCTTTCCTTTGGGAGGAAATCCTTCTAGCTCAATCCCGTTACAAGGAACAAGCTGACAGGAAAAGAATCTCGCACCCGGAGTTCCTGATCGGCTCCGAAGTATTTGTTCTTGCTAAGCACATTCGATCTACTTGTCCTACTGAAAAATTCTCAGAAAAATATCTTGGTCCTTTCAAGGTCATCAGTCGACCTGGTACTCTGTCTTATGAGCTTAAGCTCCCGGACTATCTTCGCCGCATTCACCCGGTTTTCCACGTCTCACAGCTGGAGCCAGTTATGCCAAACCCATTCCCGAATCGTACTCAATCTCCTCCACCTCCAATTGAAGTTGATGGTGAAGAGGAGTACAATGTTGCCGAAATCCTGGACTCCAAACTGGATAGAAGGTATAAACGTTGTCCTCTACATTATTACATTCGGTGGGCCGGTTACGAAGGTACCGACGATGAATTCTCCTGGGTTACTGCTGATGAACTGGTACCCACATTTCACACCCGATACCCTTTAAAGCCTGGACCTTGATCACAAAAAACATTTTATTCCTTTCCCTGAAATTCCGTTCTCCACCAAAGATTACTTCGTTGCGTTGAGAGGGTAAACACAATGATAGCAAATTGAGTGTTTATCCCTCTCTCTTAATTGCTTATTCAGTTCTTCAATTACTGTTTCACTTATTTTTCATTCACACTTAAACTACTTATACTTCAAACTAATTATTTCTTCCGCCGCTTCGCGGCCCATTCGCTTTATGATTTCAAGATACGATAACATTCTATTATATACAAAAAAAAAAAAACCAAAAAATTTATATGTAACAACAGCAGGAGACAAGATTACAAGAAAAGGCCGAAGGGCCAAGTGTCATGCCCTGTCCCTAAAAGCTCCCCTTGTTACCCTCCTAGACATCCCAGAACTGCTTATCAGCTCCTTTGCACCTCCCAAATAACCTCCCATGAAACCCCCATGGACCACGGAACCCTAGCCAACCTCCCGACCAATGCTAACCTCCATCTGAAGTGACAGCCCCATGACCCGCATATGCCGCTGGACAATCCCCTATCAATTTAGCCTCATGGGCTCCGCACTTCATGCCAGCCCCATTAGATGCTTGTTTATTACAATGTCCCTTTACCTATTCAGCCCACCTATATAAGTATCCTCAGTAACATAAGTGTCCCTAGCTTGGTATATTTTGAACACACACCCTTTTGCATAGGTCCAGTCCCTGTCCCTTTGTACCTGCTAACCATACGGATTTCTCTTTACTCTCAGTTTCTCTATCTCAGTTTCTCTCTACTCTTGTCTGTTGTCTCTCCGATCATCTATATGATCAAATATACACTTTTACTTCAAGTCTAAGCCATCCGAGTGAGTCTCCGAGCTCTCTCAAACAATACTAAAGCTCCCCAACGCCTAAACGCTTTGGTGAGTCACCCTTCCCCAAACCTCCTCGAGCTCCCTAGCTACTCCAGAGGCTTCGGGACCTCGATCTAGGTAACGTTGAAGTTACCTCTTACGTCGAACTACATACCGCTAACGAGCTTGCCTCGTTTTTGTGTGAAAGAGAAAGGAAGGAATCTAATGGGCACTCCAACCAACCAATCTAATACACAATATGTGAGTTCACTGCTATCAAATTTATTTAATAGCAAGGGGTAGCGTTGGCAAAGGTTCCGCAAAGCTTTGAGAGCTAAGTAAGAAGCTTTGATCAATCAATTTGAATCGTTCTAAGGATTCGATATATTCCTTTGATCAAGGTAGATTTAGCACGATTTGTGCTGTGGTTTGTATTGATTTGGGTATATCAAGAATTGGGGGTTTGAATCAAAGTAAATTAAAACCGAAACACACAGACCCCTACGGAGGGCTAGAACTATGTGCTGGCACAACCACACAGCGTGATTTGCCCTTAAGACCAACGACTGATCCTAAGTTCGAAGAATACCCAACAACTGGATAGACTTCTCACAGTCACAAGGAGCAGAACACGACGTTCCTATACTCACAAGTGCCGGGCCCGAATGGCTGCTAGCGAAGAGGTTTCAGTCTGGCGGGAGTGTGTCTTTCCTTTTTACGGATTAGCACTGCAACGTCGTCCCAAAATCACTTGTATTCCAGATACATCGGATCGCTATTTATACATACAGAATATAGAGTCGCATAGTACAATTAATTTAATACAATAAACGTTCGGAACCGCAAGGAAACTTCTACACTCAGTCAGATACCATTTAATTTGAATCTACATGTCCTTATTTGGTCCATATTGGTTCCAAGATTCTAGTATACCTCCAAACATAGGTAGGTACTTCAATATTCATTTAATTTAATTGTTTTTGGAGGATGACTCGAATGGTGTTCAACTGTCATTGCTGTTCAACACTTACTTCGATCGTTTGTCACCTTGTCCGGAGGCAAATCAGCTCTCCTCAATTCTAATCCTATCAATCTGATTCATCTGGATTAAACTAATTGCTTCTCTCTTTCAATAGACACCCATTGTGCCTACACTCAATCAAGGGAGTTACGCATAGTATTCATTTAATTGCATTCTTCAATATTTTCTATGTCAGGACTCTTTGACATTCATTTGATATGCCTTCGGAGCCTCGCAGTACTTCGATCGTTCTTCTAGTCATTTTCCTCAACCATGCAACTCGATTGGTCTATTAGACTAAACCGCAGTCTTTTAGATTAATGCATGATCTCGTTCTAGAAGGAGTATTTGATAATTCCTGAGTTCTAGAAAGTCATTTTGAGTCAATCCTCGGCTCATGGTCACTTGAGTAAGTTCTTCCAAACTCCTGCCAGTGTAAGGTCCAATAAGAATACCCTTGGTATGTCATACGTGAATGGTCATCCTTCGGATGTAGTCCGAGTCTGGTATAATCCTGCTTGACGAACAGGTAGACTGCTATCCGTAGGTAGTATCGGGGATGGGTAAACTGACCAACTTGTGGTAGTATGGGTATATGGTCCCTTCAACTTATTAGACTGATTCAGTATCGACTTTGACTGTCAATCTGGGTCTCAATTACAGTCCTCTTGATACAAATCTATATGTGAAAATGTCCCAATTCACAGCATAGATGTCTAGCCAAAATTTAGGCGTGTCACCGCTTCTCCGTTACCACCTCCAACACTCGAGGACGTCCACCCTCAAGCCCAGTTCCCGGGGACCTACCCTCCCGGGCGTATACCTTCTCGGGAGCTTACACACTCGAGACCCATTTCCATCTACAACCTATTCGATCCTATATTGACGTTCGAGCGAGTACAACTCCTACTACGCAATACTACTAGGTCCCATACTTCTACCTAACCTCCCTACGCCTTAGGGACCTCCCTGGACCTCCTAGAAGCCCCTTCAAGGGTCATACCTCTTCACCCCAGCCACTACTAGGTCATTCCTGTCCTCAGTCGCGGTTCCCGTAGCTCCCTTCGAGCTCCAGCCTGCTCCTAGCACGCTACAACATAAACCCTTTTACACCAAACCCTACCTTAAGACCTATTCTGACCCAGGTCTTACACCGAGGTCCAATGTCCGTTTCTACTCTACTCCGCCCTCTCCTTCTCCAATTGCGCCTCGGTCAGCACCATCTCCTCCTCCTCTCCCTCTCCATCCTTCTCTACTTCCTTGTCCTCCTCCACTTCTTTTTCTTCTTCTTCTTCCTCACTCTCCTCCATGATTCTTTGTCGTTTCAGTGGGCGCCGCCGCTCAGTAACCCTCCTCGACAGTCCCGCCGTCACCGGTCCTTCACCCATGCCCATCATGGCCATCCTTGTCTCCATAGCTATAAGTCAGGCATGGTTGTCTTCCTGTCTCCTTAACAGCTGGCGGAGGTATTGGTGGGACTTGGAGTTGGCCTCCTGCAAGGCCCGGAGGTCAGCGAGACTCTGCGCCATTTGACTCTCCATGACGGCCATCCACTCACCAGAACCGCCTTCCTGCTTGCTCGTCAATGGCCGCCCCGAAAAGGAGCAACGCACCTTGGAGTCATGGCAGGGCTTGCAGATGACAGAACTCCGCTTGCCAGCCTGCTGCAGGCAAGGGATTTTCTTGGCCTTACATCTCTCACAAGGCTCCCTCTCCTCATCGTTGTCGTCGTCGCCGTTGTCCAGATCTCCACCAACTGGCTGAAAAGGAAGAGGATAAGTACAACTTTAAGAAAGAAGACTCGGAGTACTTACCTGCACTGGGACCTTCTCTCTCCCTCCTAATTTCTACCACGGGCCTCCAAGGGGAAACCGACATCTCACTGGGCAAAGTGCCCCACTGACTTCTTGCTGTAGCGGCCTCCACTAGTAGCCGCCGTCGCTCCACGGCCTCCACATTCTGCTGCTGAGCCCGAGTGGCCCGATCTCGCGCCTCCTGCACTGCCTTCCTCCTTGCCGCACTCGCCCGAGCAGCAGCCTCCTTCTTCTTCCTCTCTTCTTCTGCGCTCCTTGCAGCTGTTTCCTCCTCTGCCTTCCGTACCTTCATCCTCTCCACTCTAGCTAAGGTGTCCCGCATGATGCTGTCCTCATCTTCATCAGCAGGGACGCCGGGACTCGGGGGATCAGTGGGGCGGGAAGAAGTGCTGGCAGTAGGTTGAGTAGTGGTGGTAGTGGTAGTTCGGCTGGTCGACATCCTGAGGGACTTAGAACTTTTTGGAGAAGTTGAGCCCAAAACCCTCGCCCTTTTATAGGGAAAAACCGCGCATGGACCAGCTAAAATTTTCCATCAAATTGTACTCAGCTTATGGCGGACCAACGAACTTTTCCTGATGACTAAAGGGATAATTGCCGATGCTGACGTGTTTTAAAATTTTTTTGCTCTGGTGACTAATAGTATTTCCCGATGCTAACGGCTTTCGAGGGCTCAAGCCTAAGAGGGGGATACTGTCAAGTCCATGTCTCGGTACCCCATTCCTCCACTTGGTATTCCGAAGATCCACCTTTTATTGTAATCTCATTCTTATTGTTCTTTCTCGTTACACATACCCTTTCACTCTAGTCTCTCCTTATTGTCTTTTACTCTACCCTGCAGGTACTACACGTATAGCTCCTAGTAGTTAGTCTAGCGCTCCGCACCGATGCGCCAATCCGTAGATATAAATACTGCCTGTATGCTACTGTAGTTCCTCAGTTTAATTATCGACTTAGATTCCCTCCTCAATTTAGTTCTCCTCTAAGTCTTCAGGCTCATTGCCTTGAAGTACTCTCTACTCTAACCTTAGGACTTATAAGTTCTTTGGTTCACTCCTCGTTGTTGGCAATACTGCCACTCCGACTTGGCTGCTACTGGCTCCTCTCTTCTATACTCTCGATCTCTGGGGAGTAACGGCGTAACGGCGGTGTTGTTAATAACTTCACCACTGTCCCATTCAACCTTCCGCTCTTAGACACCTTGTGGCCTCTGGCACGGTTACACGATGTACATGATCTTAACAGCCTCATGTTCTCTAGATCCCCTGATGTTCCCTTGTTCACATCCTGTACCTATTGAAGTAGCTCCGCAACGTCCCCAAGCCCCAGCTTGGTATATTTTGAATACACACCCTTTTGCATAGGTCCAGTCCCTGTCCCTTTGTACCTGCTAACTATACAGATTTCTCTTACTCTCAGTTTCTCTATCTCTGTCTCTCTACTCTTATCTTTGTCTCTACAATCGTCTAAATGATCCAATATACACTTTTACTCCACGTCTAAGCAATGCAAGTGAGACCCCGAGCTCCCTCGAACAATACTAAAGCTCCCCAATGCCTACCGCTGGTGAGCCAACCTCCCCAAAACCTCCTTGAGCTTCCCAACTGCTCCACAAGCTCTGGGACCTCGATCTAGGTAATGTCAAAGCTATCCCTTACGTTGAACTACGTACTGCTTCTCCATTACTACCTCCACTACTCGAGGATGCCCGCCGTTACCCCCACTTCCCGGGACCTCCTTCCTGGGCTCATACTTTATTGGGAGCTTACACGTTTGAGACCTACATCAACTACAACCTACATTATCCTACGTTGATGTTCCTAACTAGTACAACTCCTACTACGCAGTGCTCTTATGTCTACTAGTTCCCGTTACTTCTATCTTCCCTCATTACGCCCTAGGGACCTCCCTGGACCTTCTAGGAACCCCTTAAAGGGTCAACCCTTCCAATCCGAACTACTCTTAAGTCATTTCTGTCCTCAGTCACGGTTCCCGTAGCTCCCTTCGAGCTCCAGCTTGCTCCTAGCATGCTACAACATAAACCCCTTATACCAAAACCTACCCTAAGACCAATTCTGACCCAGGTCTTACAGTAGGAGGCATCTACATGAGTTGGAGAAGACAAATGGACCCCAGGAGACTGTAAGGGAGGTAAGGCCTCATTCAGAGGGCTCCCACGACTTGAGGTGCATGGCTCGACTGTAAGACCTGGGTCAGAATAGGTCTTAAGGTAGGGTTTGGTATGAAAGGGTTTATGTTGTAGCATGCTAGGAGCAGGCTGGAGCTTAAAGGGAGCTACGGGAACCGCGACCGAGGACAGGAATGACCTAGTATTGGCTGGGATGAAGAGATATGACCCTTGAAGGGGTTCCTATAAGGTCCAGGGAGGTCCCTAAGGCGTAGGGAGGTTAGGTAGAAGTACGGGACCTAGTAGTATTGCGTAGTAGGAGTTGTACTTGCTAGAGCGTCAACGTAAGATCAAATAGGTTGTAGTGGAGATGGGTCTCGAGTGGTAAGCTCACGAGAAGGTATACACCCAGGAGGGTAGGTCCCCGGGGACTGGGTTTAAGGGTGGATGTCCTCGAGTGTTGGAGGTTGTAACAGAGAAGCAGTACGTAGTTTGACATAAGAGGTAGCTTCGACGTTACCTAGATCGAGGTCCCGAAGCCTATGGAGTAGCTAGGGAGCTCGAGGAGGTTTGGGGGAGGGTAGCTCACCAAAGTGTTTAGGCATTGGGGAGCTTTAGTATTGTTTGAGGGAGCTCGGAGACTCACTCGGATGGCTTAGACTTGAAGTAAAAGTGTATATTTGATTGTATAGATGATCGGAGAGACAACAGACAAGAGTAGAGAGAAACTGAGAGTAAAGAGAAATCCATATAGGTAGCAGGTACAAAGGGACAGGGACTGGACCTATGCAAAAGGGTGTGTGTTCAAAATATACCAAGCTGGGGCTTGGGATATTGCGGCGCTACTTAAATAGGTACGGGAAGTGAACAAGAGAACATCTGGAGGACATGAGGCAACTAATCGAGATTAGTACTTAATGGGGTTGGCGGTTAGGAGGGTTTTGTATGCATGTTGGGGTGATCATGAGGATGTTTGGGTAGGTATATCAGGGCAATGGTGGTACTGTCTTGGGGAGGTGCATGGTGGTGGAGGTGCGTGGTGGTACTTGGGGAGGTGCAGCGGTAGGTAGGAAGTGTGGCGACGTGTGGCTGGTACTGGAGCTAGTCTGGTTGTAGCCAGGGCATGACATCGACAACATCTTGATGACCCGTAAACTGGGGGTGAACACCAGAACCACACAATGGTAGTCCAAAGCCTTATCCACCTCCTGATCATGTTCCATGGAACATTTATGCTTCGAGGAGGATGCCTCCCCTATCCTGACTGCCCATTTTCTCTTCCTTGGAACAAAGAGGGCCTTGTCTGGAACTGGCTGACTACGTGGACCGGATGGAAGTGGTTCTGCAACTGTGGAAAGCTTTGGTTGGCAATGAAGGAAATCCCCCAACTCTAAACAATCCTCCTCAAGCTGATTCTGATTATCGAGCGGACTCAACTTAAAGAGAGCCCAATTGGAACTAGTACTGGACTCAATTCTATCTGCGATGGTCCTCCATTGCTCTGGGAGGAGGGAAAATTGAGTACGTTGACCCGGATCTCTGTGTACTTCCAAAAATCTATGTGCAAAAGCCAGGTTGAGGGAGCATTTATGGGCAAAGTAGCAGAACTGCACTAATTGTCCCAGAATGCATGGTTTTGTTGTTGCAGTTACTGCAACGAGCTAGGTGAGGGACAACAAAGCAACTCCCTGACTTCTTACTGCGCACACAAAAGGAACCAGGAAGACCGGTGGCAGCAAGGACAGGCCACAGAGGATCATCCACTATGTACTGCGCCAAGGAGACACCTACGCTGAAGACAGACTTAAACAAAGCTAGATGACCAAGAGGGGGGTCCTCCTCAGTCATAAAGGGAGGATTAGAAGGAGGCAGAGGCATGGATTGTGGGGAAGTAACAGGATGGGAGCTGGAACCAACAGCAGTGGGGAGCGTAGACATCGCAATCGAGTTTGAGTCTGATAATTGATGAAGTGGACAGTAGGAAGACAAAGCAGCAGGGAAAAAAGAACTTGTAAACGAAAAAGTTCAAAACCATGTGAAAATCACATGACTTGACAGGACCAAGACACAACCTCCTCGGAGGCTCGGAGGAATAGATGGGGGGATAATGTCATGCACTGGCACTAACCCACAATGCCGTAATTCCTTTCTCCCACCCAAGTAATGCCCCCGAACCTCCTTCCCCTGTTATTTAGGACCTAAAGATAATATTACAACAAGCAGATTTTCTGTAAATTTGAATTTGAATTTTTGACTTTCAAAAAATGGCCGTACCCAATAGAAATTTGCTAAAATTCGGAAAAATGTGCAAAACACTCCTTTCACCATCTAATGATGATTTTGAAATAAAAACAAGACCCTAACAAGTGGGTGTGTGTGACTAAAAAAGGTAATTTTAAGCGCGCATCTCTCCAGATCTCTCCTCACAAGGCTCGAACATGGCTGGTGGCAAGGGTGGACGTCCTCAAAAGAGAAAAAGAAACATTACTGGCTTAAGAAATCAATGTCAGCCACAACAAGAGACTACACCTACTTCAGATAATGGCAAAGAAACCCAAGAAACCCAAGAATTCATAGTTTCTCCAATTTCTAATACCTCTGAAAATCCCAACGAGATCTTGGATGATTGTTGGGTACCAGAAGATCATATCAGAACTGCTAGCTACTAGGTATGGAGAAGATGAAGATTCAGAAGATGAGGATGAAGACCTTTTGCCTCTAGACTGGGATAATGAGGTTTTTGCACAAGAGGACTTACAGGAAGCAATGTTTCATTATGCTGCAGCAATGGATAATGACATCAAGGATGAGGACTGGGTTCCGGACTATTTGCAACAGAGGAAAAAGTATCGACGTGCAGAACGAGAGCAGAAAGGTTATACCATTTTATTTCCAATTGAAAAACTTCACAATTATGCTACTCAGAGCATCCGAAAACATATGTGACTGGTCCAGATCTTGCAAGAGCATCAAAGTGCACTCAAACCTGTCGAAGGAGTGAGCAGATTGACCAGAAAACATTACTTAATTTTGGCTTCAATAGCAGAGAATGTTGAGTGAATGTATTTTGTGCTCATGTCGAGCCTGATACTTCCACTTCATCATCGTGTCCACCATCTCATAGGTCAATGAACTCGGCTTCAGTAATGTTCGGGAGCCATCTATTCCAATTTGAGAAGAGTCATTTGAGCCTGTTCTGACATGGGATGGGGATGGACCTCCAGATATCATCCAGCAAGACATTACAGACAGCCAAAAAGAAGAGTTAGCAGCAGAGAGCTGGGAAGAAGAGATGGATAAACAGGTCAGTCTTCACCCTCAAAGCGAAATTCGCTCATGGGAGGAGTTACGGAAAGAGATTAAGGATGATCTGAAGAAGGGGAAGAAGTTGTCAATGCCACTTTCACAGGTCAATCAACTGCTAATCCTTCGAAACTTCACAACACTTCGCGTGAAGGGATTTGGATGAATGAGAGCAAGCCATGAAATTGCATTACAGTGGCATGAGAAGGACGGCATTCACTTTGCGCGCCGGGTACGACAGCTAGCGAGACATTATCAGGTATTTGGTCAGTTGCCACAAGAGAAAAGAGGTGGTATATGAACATCTTGCACACTCCTTGCAGACGAAACCACTCGCAACCAGAACGAGATAGGATGCAACATTGGACAAGTCGATCAAGATCAAATGAACTATCTGTCGGCAGTATTATTGACCGTGTTGTGGTTAAAGCAGGTAGTATGGTAGATAGTCAGATATCAATACACGAAGGAAAAGATAGTTTCATTCCCTTTACGGAACATCATGCAATAACTGCAAGAATGATCATCACATCAACGGGAAATGCAAATTCATTTTTTCTCCCCCATTGCATAGAAATAAACAAGCCGTGTATCAAATATCCAACAGTTCAAGAAAAACACAGGCATCAAGAATTCCAAAACTTATTTGACGAAAGGGCACGGGCAAAGCACCTACAAGACATTCTAGTAAAAGATGATGAATCATTCATGGAACTATACAGCAAAACAAGCAAAATTCTCTTATCAAGTGCAGAAACTAGCTATGGACGTGTCCCTCAATATTGATCTACAGCAAGAGGTAACCGCATAACTAATCCAGAAATTCAAAGTCAAATAGGATACCTGCGGTCAATTGGTGGGGCTATAAGAATAATTCAAACCCCAGATCTATACTATTTAGTCTCAGCAAAATCAAGAATCACATACCAGAAGTTCTGAAGGAAAAGTCAGCAACAAAGGATCAACCTACTCAAGTATGCTAAACAAGAACGATTAAAGAAAGGAAAAACACTATTCAAAATGAAAGCAAAAGCGATAACTCAACAAGCAGCACAAAGAAGCAAAGGTCAAGTCATGGCAGTGTTGAATGGAACATCATCAAAACAGGTACTATCAAAACCACAGTTTATCCCAATGCCCTCATCATCAAGAGTACTGATTCCGAGAACTCGATTTGTGAACCGGAACAAGTAAAGGAAGCCACAAGGCAATACTGGTCAAATTTGTATCATCACGATCCGCCGCCAAATATTCCTAAACCATGGCTCACAACTCCATCCCTGATTGCCGTGAAAAACAGAGTACAACAAGACCCATTCACATGGCCTCAACTGATAACCATACAAGATCTTCGAGCTCTACTGTCTAAGGAGAACTCAAGACCCGCACCTGGTCCCGATGAATGGGAAAAGTGGGTGGTCAAGAGCATGTCAGATGAAGGCTTGGAACATGTTTCACAAATGTGGAATGCAAACAGACTTACTCAACTGGCATAGTATGATTCTATCCAATTTCATTGCAAATGTTCCCATGACATGGCTGAACTCAAGACTCATACCCTACATATCCGAAAAGAAAGTACTTCCAGATACTCAAGTTGCAACTCAAAAAGATGTACAGACACGAGATCTAATGAGTTATCTGTCAAGCATCAAATGCTGGAGTAACCAGAATAAAACTCAAATTTACGCAATAAAGCGCGATCAAATAAAGGGGTTTGACTATCTTGCACCAGAGGGTTTCTATGATATCATCGAAGCTATTGGTTTACCAGATTCTATTGCAAAATTGGATCAAGCGGCTCAAAAGGATAACAACTGTATCATTCGAACTGCTCATGGGCTGACAAAACCCATAATCATCAACGGCGTAACAAAGCAAGGCGGTCCTTTATCTCCACTCAAGTCAACACTCACAACAAGTATGGGACATCATTACCTCAATGATTTACTCCTTCAAGATCCTGATGCATTGATAATATCAAGTACAAACCAAAGAAAGGATGATCCACATCTCTCAGATGACAATTTAGTTGCAAGAATCGGAATGACTGAGGCGACAGATGACTCATACATATTTCCAAGGACCCTTCAATCACTTCAGAAGAATATGTTACACATGGAACAGTTCCAGTATGCATATGGTTGGCTCACTCAATGGTCAAAAGCGAAGGCATATGTCCTGAATGGGGCAGGCCCGCAACCAGAAAAAGTCACCTTCGAATCAATTTCGACGACGAGTTTACTTCAAACAACATTCCATCAAATACCGTTGATCCAAGATGAACTAGAATTTCTTCAGGTCAAAGTTGACGATGCAGAAGCGCGATTTGAGCAACTGAAAGATATCATTGAGGAGTACCACTTCCCAAGACTCGGAAACCGACCACCAATAACTCTGCTCAACAAGATCATTTCACAAAATATCATTTCGCGATGCAGGGCTCTTCTCTCCTTACAGCCAATCAAGCAAACAGATGCAGATATACTAGATAAAAAGATAAATCGTCTGGTTCACGATCAATTGGGTTTCCCTTTCATGCCGAGCCCAACAATACTAATGCTTCCCATCAGGAACAATGGACTAGGATTCCCATCCATCGCTCGAATTAATGCAGGCCTAGCAACTGATAGAATACGACGGGACCTAAATCATCATATCAAATCATATAGGGACATGGCCAGAATTATGATGGCAGACTGGACATGCTCTCTAAATCACTGTGTTTATCCTATCTCTGGCACTGGTCTACTAACTCAAACACATTCCTCTAGATTTAAAAAGATTCCGTCATCATGGATAATTGCCCAGAGGGTAATGTCTGAGCACAGAGAGAAATTGTCGCTTCCCCGAACAGACAGGACCGAAGTATTGACGGGTGATGTGTCCTTGTCTCACTACATCTCAATTTTCAATCATCATAATCAAACAATACAGGAGAAAATTGATGGTAATGTCATGAAATCACTGAGAGTTAGAGGAATTACTCTGCTTCGTCATGTTGGAATGTGGAAGACAAATCGGCCCAAGGGAAAACCTTCAATAGAGTTAAAAGAAACCATAAATCTTGCAGGATGGACAGCAGCTGGCAAGCAAAACCTCTCACGAATGCAAATTATGCTAAGCTCCTTTGAATTTCACTGGTTGGACATACAATCTATAAATCTGACAACTGAGCAAGAGCAGCGACAGGTAGCCGCTGAACATCAAGTATGCCAGATTGCACTACTATCCGGTCTCCAGCCATCACCTCACATCCAAACGGAACAACAAATTTGGGCCTCAGATGGATCAATGGTACCAGCATCAGCAGGTCTACTCGACAAACGTTCAGTGACAACATCAGTGACGGGCCCTACAACGCTTGTTGCCCAAGTTTCCAGGATAAGCGCATTCATCACTCACGGTGAATTGGCAGGGATCACAGTGACACGCCTAAATTTTGGCTAGACGTCTATGCTGTAAATTGTGACATTTTCACGTATAGATTTGTATTGAGAGGACTGTAATTGAGACCCAGATTGACAGTCAAAGTCAATACTGAATCAGTCTAATAAGTTGAAGGGACCATATACCCATACTACCACAAGTTGGTTAGTTTACCCATCCCCGATACTACCTTCGGATAGCAGTCTACCTGTTTGTCAAGCAGGATTATACCAGACTCAGACTACATCCGAAGGATGACCATTCACGTATGACATACCAAGGGTATTCTTATTGGACCTTACACTGGCAGGAGTTTGGAAGAACTTACTCAAGTGACCATGAGCCGAGGATTGACTCAAAATGAGTTTCTAGAACTCAGGAATTATCAAATACTCCTTCTAGGATGAGATCATGCATTAATCTAAAAGACTGTGATTTAGTCTAATAGACCAATCAGGTTGCATGGTTGAGGAAAATGACTAGAAGAATGATTGAAGTACTGCAAGGCTCCAAAGACATATCAAATGAATGTCAAAGAGTCCTGACATAGAAAATATTGAAGAATGCAATTAAATGAATACTATGTGTAACTCCCTTGATAGAGTATAGGCACAATGGGTGTCTATTGAAAGAGAGAAGCAATTAGTTTAATCCAGATGAATCAGATTGATAGGATTAGAATCGAGGAGAGCTGATTTGCCTCTGGACGAGGTGACAAATGATCGAAGTAAGTGTTGAACAGCAATGACAGTTGAACACCATTCGAGTCATTCTCCAAAACAATTAAATTAAATGAATAACAAAGTACCTACCTATGTTTGGAGGTATACTTGAATCTTGGAACCATTATGGACCAAATAAGGACATGTAGATTCAAATTAAATGGTATCTGACCGAGTGTAGAAGTTTCCTTGCGGTTCCGAACGTTTATTGTATTAAATTAATTGTACTGTGCGACTCTATATTCTGTATGTATAAATAGCAATCCGATGTATCTGGAATACAAGTGATTTTGGGACAACGTTGCAGTGCTAATCCATAAAAAGGAAAGACACACTCCCGCCAGACTGAAACCTCTTTGCTAGCAGCCATTCGGGCCCGGCACTTGTGAGTATAGGAACATTGTGTTCTGCTCCTTGTGACTATGAGAAGTATATCCAGTTGTTGGGTATTCTTCGAACTTAGGATCAGTTGTTGGTCTTAAGGGCACGCTGTGTGGTTGTGCGAGCACATAGTTCTAGCCCTCTGTAGGGGTCTGTGTGTTTCGGTTTTAATTTACTTTGATTCAAAAACCCCAATTCGTGATATACCCATATCAATACAAACCAGAGCACAAATCGTGCTGAATCTACCTTGATCAAAGGAATATATCGAATCCTTAGAACGATTCAATTGATTGATTAAAGCTTCTTACTTAGCTCTCAAAGCTTTGCGGAACCTTTGCCAACACTACCCCTTGCTATTAAATAAATTTGATAGCAGTGAGCTTGCATATTGTGTATGAGATTGGTTGGTTGGAGTGCCCATTAGATTCCTTTCTTTCTCTTTCACACAAAAACGAGGCAAGCTCGTTAACGGCGGCATTGATATTGGCTAAGGACTCAAATAACTCTATTGCGGTTCTCCACACTGATTCACTCTATTGCGTCGGAACAATTAGAAAGGGCTTAGCCCAATGTGATCCAGGAGCAATCGCAAACATCAGGCGATACAATGGTCGCTCTTTCTACAGATGGATAAATGACATTCTGCATCGTAAATCAACTGATATACAGCACGTTAAAGCTCATACCGAAGACACATCCCTTCTATCCCTTCTGAGCTCCGAGGCAGATCACTATGCCACATCAGCTCAGAAACTCGTACACCGGATTCCATCCTTTCCCATTCCAACATTTCACATGGATGAATTTACACCATATTCCTCGTCGCACGGATGGACAGAGTCAAATCTACGTGTATATACTGAAACCGTGATGTTAGAAAAGTCATTGCATGAATTGCAAAACAACGTACGCATGGCAAAATGGCTTTATGAACTGAGACCCCCCAGCGAATTCCCATACACACGCGCATATTCAGCATATTCAGCGGCAATACAACTATACGCTCGTTTGGGTCAGTTGGCTGTAGCGGATACACTGTTTTCAAGGGGAAAAATCGACGAGCCATACTGCAGATTTGGATGTAGGGCACTCGAGGATCCGCATCACTTGTTTGTTGAATGCAAGAGATACACAGAATGGAGGGTTGAGACGAGTAAAGAGATTGAAAATTGTACACGAAGAAAGTTAACAGAAAAGGGCTTCGAGGAGACATCCCAAACAAGTCTCCTCAAAACAGCTAAGTCACTTTTTATTAATGATAAGGATATATGGCCTCTACAGTACTCCTTTTACTATCTAGGTCACATACCAAAGCTCGATTCATTACTGCCGTATTCACCAACAATGACACCTATTGCAAGAGAACAATTACTTCACCATCTGGCAGCAGACTGGCACACGCACATTATACGGCTAGCGGGACGTATTTTTGGGGATTATCAACGGGAAATGGCCAAGAGACTTACCTCGAACCATAAACCTCGATGAACCATCGACAACGCCCCAGTAGTAAACTTCCTTCTCACAAAACCAGCAAAGCCTGGCATTTTACTTGATATCTTATGATACTTTTATTACATACATATTATGGGCACTCCTACTTAAAGTCTGGTTCATCGGGGTTACATGTAGCCTTAGTCCTTTTAGGACACAGATGAATATCATCTTGTAAACTTGTAAACACCAAAGGGTCTTCAGCGGGTTCTTGAAGAGCGCAGCTTCGATCTTCATGGTATCAATGCCAAGTGTGCTCCTGTTTGCCCGTTTGAGAACAATGGGTGCTGCATGGCTCGTCTTTTGAGCAAACAGGAGGATTTTATCAATCAGCCTTCCATGCTGGAGATAATCATCACAAATGCAGGTCATTACTGTATTTTTCTACCAAAATTCCACTGTGAGCTTAATCCAATTGAAATGGTGTGTTAAGAAAATCATAATACTTGTTTTTCCTACTGATATATCTTCAGTACTGGGGCTGGGTAAAGTACAGATTCAAGGAAATACCCAAGAAAACATTCCAAGAGGCCAAGGATGCTGCATTTAAGTCTCTTGATGAATGCCCGATTCAGGTTATACAATGTTTCATTAATCGTTATTTTTGATGGATGAGTGCATACCGGCTCAAACTCTCAGGGAAGGCAGCAGTGGGCAGTGCGGAAGCAGAAAACACATCGCTCTATTTCTGCAGGTGCGATGATGCATCTAGATGCGATCTTACAGCCCACTACTAGCTAGAAGTACGCCTATGTAATGAAAATTTTCGATGAAATGGCCCAAAAAAATTGGCCGTTCCTAAAATGTCGTGGGAAAAACTTCGGAAGTGCTTTTTTCGACGTATTTCACCTTTCTAAGCTCAAATCCGTACTCATTTGGGCCTAGAAAACTCATGATCCATGGCAATTAAATTTGTCGACTTTGATTGTCCCCGACTGTACGTTAATGATAGTCTCTCCAATGTCTATGTGAATAACATTGTTATTAACTAGGGGACCTGCTAACTCGTACCGGCCGAATCACAGAGCCGGCTACAATGTCATCACGGATGCGCTTCTCTTTTACGTTTTTCCTTCGCAGTTTTTTTTTTCACTTCTTAAAAAATCCTCAACCAACTTTAACGTATCCTTGTATCCCCTGGTATCTCGACCCATCGAATGAACAGCGTCACCGTGCCCAATCCAAGACAAAGTAAAATGAATCGGCAATCCCAAAGCTTGGCTTTTGACTCTCGACAGGACGTCGACGAGGAAAAGACGTTTGACCGGAGTCCCTCGGAGGTCGACCCCACAGACTCTGCTGACGCTGCCCTAAGTCACTGTGAAACACTAACAAAGGAGTTGGAGGAGCTTGATGCTGAAGGTTATCTTCTCCGTAGGTTTTTGGCTTCATAATTCTAAATCTTTTCACACTGGTCACTGCAGAACCTGAAACATACTCTGAAGATGATTGCGTAAAGCTCACTAACTCATTGAATGCCAAAATCCAACACATCTCTGTTTCAGTTGTTCGAGCATGCTGTGAATCCACTGGAACAACATGGCTGACTGCTCGTGGTGTATCTTCTTCTTCCTCAAACAAAACCAACAATTCTAGCATCTCAAACGAAGACCTCCTGCAAATCCAAACCATTCGTTCAATGATAGGTGAACAAGCCTATGAATTCTTTCTGGGCTTACAAGATAGTCAAAACTGTGGCGGCAGCGACTCGGATCAGCTGCACTACAGGTATATTGTTCGTTGCGCTATACAAGCAACTCTAGCAGCACTCTGTGATGAGATACTCAGCGCTTGGTCGTTCAACAAGGAGGAGAACAATGTGCTCTCAAATATTTACATTCTATTGCACAATCAATTTGGTAGTATGTCTTCTATACCCGTGCAGTGTGGGGGTTCAAATTTGTCTAATCCATATTTTGAAAGAAGAGAACCCGGCTTTAACAGGGACTTGGAGATCTCTCACTCGCAGTCAAACCAAAATCGCTCGATACCACGACCTTAAGACTACTGCCATCCGCACCTTCATTAGCGAAACTACAAAAGTCTTAGTCATTTCCGGAGGTATTTCCTGGAACTTGGACGACGGAGAAGGCATTATTCAAGACTATTTCCAAGATGAATTCGCAGATTTATACAACTACTGTTTTCGCCTTGACCGACTCACCGGCGAGAGCATCCACTCTTTTGATCTAGAGTTCTATCTACCCAAACCTGGGGAGTTGTATGCATGGGAAAGCATGTATAACATGAATTCTAACACGAAATCTAGGATTGCTTCTGTGGCTGACTCGAACGTTCCTTGCGCGGGCATCGCTTTCTGTTGCCGCTTAGGATTACTTCGAATTGGAGTAATTGAGCACGAAGCAGATGATACATCCCCTGGGAGATCCGAAGAAGAGATCTTGCTCAAAGCCGGCGTGCAGCTTGCTACTCTCATTTCGAATTGCCGTGTTGACTCGACAGAAATCTGCACTCAAGCATCAATCAACTGACAAGGTTATACACGGTACGCTCAATACAAGGCCTCCTAGTATTGGTTGAGAGGAGAAGGAAACCGAAACCGATTTTGGGATAATGAAAGTTTTAAACAAAATGCGCAATTTTTTTTGCCTTACATCAAGATACAACTATTCCTGACCAATTACCGAAACTTGCTAAATTCGAGAATGTGAAAGAGAGGGGTAGAATTGATATGTAAAAAGGGGTAGGAACTAGAGCGCAGCGATATTGCTACTGATTCACCCAGAAACTTGATTTACTCATCTTTTTCCGACTCTACATAAGCCCATAATCAATCGTGAGCACCATATCAGTGTAAAAGAGAAAATGTATATTATAGCCATATTGGTACAGTCGCGGCACAATACTGAAAAAGGAACAAGTAGATGTTCATTTTCTATGCATAGACAAGGTGAAAGGTGCGTATGTATCGACAAGCACAACAGTTGAATGGGTTTGAGCACAGAAGATTTTCAAGCATTTAGCAACATAGAAAATGAGAAAGATGCGTATTTATCGACAATGATAGCAGTTGAATGATTTTGAACGATCAGAAAATGTTGTGGCATGAAGCACACGTAACAGTAACCATCAATACCCAACCTTACAAAGCCTTTATCATGTATGCTTCACCGTAACAGAATTGCTGGTGAAACTCGTGCTAGTCAACAATTTCTTGTTTTGCACAATGTTCACTTTGATTCCAGAACTGGGTGTAACAGTTTTCTTCGACGTCGATGCAGATGCATTTGTGAACGTGACTGTGCCAAAGTTCGCGAAGGGAACTAGACTGCCATTTTCCTCGTAATCTTCAACAATCCATTCGGCGTTTTGTCCTTTGAGAGCAGTCTAGGCAGGGGGGTTAACAAAATGGAAAAACATGGGACAAAGTTGGCTGCTTACGGAAGAACTAGGTGCATTAAGAGATTGACTGACACTTTTTCCGGTACTCTTATTAGACAAGGTTACTGTGCCTGTTTTCGAACTCGTTGAATGGATGGTGATGGTGATTGTGTTTCCAGCTGAGATAGCGAAATTCGAAAAATCATAGGCGTAGTTTGGATACCTTGGACGAGAGTAAGTATGTTCATCTAATTGAGATGCATGAGTAAGTTGACTCACCACTCATACCATGAATCATAAGTGACTTTTCCTCCGCTGATTTTGAAGTCGACCCCAGCTTGCAAAATAGATTGCGATGCCGTATCACCATCTATACCGACCCAAGCGGAGGCGGCTCCATTACTTCCAGTCGGTTTTGGTACAACGAAAGTCCCTGAAACCGTGGTGAAGTTTTGGCCTGTAGGAGGAGATTCTATAACGGCACCAGCCCAGTTTGTACTGTACTCATCGTGAAGGGTTGTGCCGCTGGATGTGACGGCGAAAGAATTAGGCTCGGACTGCGAATCGGTCCCATTGCTTGTGCTGTTAACCGCAAAGTGGGGTGAGCCGGTGAATGGTCTCGATCCTCGCAAACGTCGTGTGGCTTCGCGTTCTGCGAGTCGTGATGGACGTGCGTATCCGCCAGAGATGAAGATAGCACTGATAACGGAGAGAGTCAAAAATTTCATCGTGAGGGCAAGGACGAGCTTGAATTAAAGTTAATAGTTTGTTCGGGTGGTTATATACAAAAAGTAATGGAGAACCGAATCAGGGGTCTATGATAGACTGAGACGAAACCAATGCTGTAAATATAGGACCTGGTAGGAGAATAGGAGTGACTCACTCGGTTCGACTCAGTCCTCGGTGTAGGAAGTCTGAGACGTAGTGAGGCTCTTTTCTGGAAGAGAGAATTCATCCAAGCGTAGCAAGACAAATGCGTTGAAGACGGAAGGATATCGCGCAAATTGACGCGACGTGTTATTGAGTGAGTGTAGCGAGTCAGAACTTGGAATCTGTAAAAGAGCCAGCCAATCTTCAACGACGTGCAAAGCGAGTTGATTCATATGTGACTCAGGTACCGGTGTCGATTTTTGTGTCAGATACCTTCGTAGTCGTGCAAACCCGGGCGGAGAAAATCTTGAATTAGTGACAACACAGATCGCCGCATTGGATGGCTACTCATTGGCCACCGTAATGCGCTAAAGAGGTGGAAAAATCTGGACAGAATTCGATGTTGAAGCTTTGAGTTGAAATCGAAGAGGACGTGCAGGGAGGAATAGCATATTCCTGCGATCTTTGACCCCCAGCGATAGTCGATCTCTTCCTTTCATTCCAGACTAAATCACCTCGGGTCAACATCTTCAAAGTTCGCAAGAGAGAAGAAGGAGGAATTCCCCGGCCCGGAAGAGCCGCACATGAACCAATCCTCCCCCTCTGATGACGATCATATCGCATTAATCCACACACTATATTCTCAACTCAAGCTATATCCTCAACCATCGCAATACACTATCCTGTCTGCGCTCTATCTCACGTCGAGCACCAGCTCCGAATGCAAAATAATTTCTTTGGGCACTGGGACCAAATGTCTACCCAAGTGTCGCCTTCCAATTCGAGGAGAAGCCGTCCACGATAGCCACGCGGAGGTTGTAGCGCGTCGTGGAGCTATTAGGTGGATTCTAGAGGAAACTATACGCGAGAGAGTTCAAGGTAGTGGATGGATTGAACGCCACGCGGACAAGTACCGATTTAGAAAAGGGATACAAATTCGTATGTATGTCTCTACTGTCCCTTGCGGAGACGCCTCCACACGATTTCTCGCTGCCTCCCAGGATCCTAAGATGGCCTTTCTGAAAGATTCTGCTGTCATGGCACACATAGAAGGTACCACTGCCCGTGGTCGGGATAACTACCATTTATTCAATGTTCTCCGCACGAAGCCCGGCAGAGCAGATTCGCCACCGACGCTTTCCTTGTCCTGTAGTGATAAGATTGCCAGCTGGTCATGGCTTGGCATACAGGGAGCCTTTGGTGCAAAACTTTTCGAGGGAGGGACTTACATACAGAAAATCATCATCGGCGAAGTGCTTCCTTCGCGAAACGTAGATCTCATTAAAATCGTCAAGGACGATTGTGAACGTGCATTAGGTGGAAGGCTGGAAGGTCTTTTGCCTACCAATCAAGGTACGTCGACTGCTGGATCGACTAAAATTTTAATGACACTTCGTTCTGCAGGACCTTATTCACTACAAAAACCCGTCATCGCGTTCACGCCTGTTCCTTTCATACACTCGCGGCTTGTCGTCGGTCTCACAAGTACATCAAGTAACGAATGTGAGTCCTTTCCTTTTGTATGAGTTTGTCCTGAAGACGAATTCCGATAGCTCTTTGCTGGCATGCAGATTCTATCCCTCCACAGACTCTTCCTACTCCTCCTCAGACCTTATTGTCTTCGTCGTCGTTCTTTCCAGATTCTGACCACTTTCGCAATTCTCCGTCTAATGGGACTGTTCAAGTCCTCATTAATGGCTACAAACGCGGAGTTTCTCCTAAACATCGACAGAAAATGCAAAACAGCAAGTTTATGTGAGTTCGATGTCCGCTATTCTGCCTCGTGGAACGGCACTCTATTTGAATCACATTCGACTCACGATGTCTGATCCGTTGGATTGTACGTTCATGCAGACCTCAAGTTAGTAAGCTCTCAATCCTGAGACTATACGCAAGGGTTTGCAAGGACGTGTATGGAGTGGAAATACCTAGGTTAGTCATCTACGTATTCACGAGAGCGAGTTTGATACATTTTTTCCTATTGTAGCACCCACTCGTACTACGAAACCAAGACCGACTTCCATAACTTGTCGGACCACCAAAGCGCAAACGCAAACGTACTATCCACCCGACCTGTCTCCGCATACCACGAGGCGAAAATTCTTCTCAAAGGCCCTTCAGCGCCATTCAGCGCTTGGTGGGATAAGAGTACGCGCTCTCTTGTTCCTACACCATCATCGTGTACCGGTTCCGAAGACGTGTCCAGCTCGAATGGCAAAGGAAAAGAAAAATGGACTGAATGCGCGCGATTGAACGACGAAACAGATATAACAAGGGAAGAGAGGTTACAGTGCCGTGGATCTGGGTACTGGGAACGGTTCAACGTCGATGGCGAACTCCTGTCCCTCTAGCGATGTAACTAGGACGTCCATTATTATTACTACACGATTTAATGTGTCTGATTTGTGTGCTTATGAACAACCATATCCTTCATTGCATGAAAGTCTGATCGAATCTGTCTCATGAGCACTGCGAATCCAAATTGCTCGAGATGATTGAAATTGGGCGAAAAGGAGTGAAAAAAAGGAAGGCGGAGCCTGACGCGAGCTGCTAAATGTTTGCCATTCCAGTAAATGCTTTACTCTTTTCACCCCTCCCAACCTCTCCCCTCCCCCACTTCTTTGTTACTGTTGCTCATTGAACTCTTGTAGATGCCCATTCGCGAAGCGAGATTTTGCATACTTCACTATACTATAATCAAACTCAAGTCTTGGTACTGTGAAATTTTCCTTATATTTCAAGTTATTATATTACCGAACACAGGTTGATTTTCCAAGTTAATTTTCAGGACGAATCCTGGATTCGACGCTTATTCATTCTCCGCTCAGCGTCAAAGGTTCATAAACAGCATTGAGCATCACTCCCTATGGACTCTGCTATTCTGCTCGGAATCAAGCTGCAGGTGCTATGTAGTGTCAGGCGCAAGACAGCTGTTATTGATTAAAATTATCATGCAGGTGCGCATATATTGCGCTTGTGCATTTTGCATGGTATGCTAAAGATTTAACGAATCGTTCGAGACGGGGCACCAGACGAGTGTACGATATGTTTTGAATGGTGTGTTACCTCGATGATATCGAGATTGTGAATGTGGTTCAACTATCATAGTTTGATTACCTGTGAGGGTAGATAAGTATTGGTCTTTAAGGGTATGTATGCTAGCGATTGTACTCACCATTGATGCACGAATCACGCGTAAATTCTGAAAACATATCGACTGCAACCAACTTGAGCCGGCTATTCTTCCCTTACGACGATGGAGCTTCGTCACTTCCAGTAGATGATGGAACGACTATAGACGAGTATTCCTGGGTGAGAATAGGTACAGGAAGAGGGAGAACCGATGACTCCTGAGTCTGGTATGTATTCGTCGTCGTGGATGTACTGGTGCGAATGGCGGATAGGGTTGTGGTGGAGGGTTGACTATAGGATTCGGGTTCGGTTGGAGAGTCACCGCTGTTTCCCGGACCATTGTCATAATGAGCCAAATGGGGAGAGCCTGGAGGCGGCCTCGATCCTCCAAATTGACGAGCAGGTTCACGTTCAACAAAGCGCGAAGTGGGTAGTGCACTCGTTCCAGCGGCAATTAGAGCGCTGGTGAAAAAGATGGTAGAAAACTTCATGGCGAGGAACAGGTGAATCAAGTTGGTTACAAGGATGGAGTTGTGGGTTAAGGTGTACTTTCAGTCTGGAGAGTGCTCGAGGGTTTTATATATCCAGACTCAAGGGGAATAGGGGTATTGAATCATCTTGTCTCACTTGTCTCGACTCGGTCCTCGGAGAAGCGAGTCTAGGATCGAATAGTGTCTTCTCCGAATCTGTTGGGGGGGATGGTGGATGGTTGGGAAAGGGACGAAGACGCGTTGGCGGCTTTGCACTTTCCATAAAGACCACTTGACTCTTGTGTAAAATTGAGCTAGAAAGCAAAAGAATCGGTCGTTGATGATCAAGAGAACCTGGTGCCATTTATGAGTGAAATTGAAAGCAACTTGAGGTTTGAACCCAGTCGTCGTATGAAGTGGTAACCTGTTGCTAACTCAATCCTCAGAGCAGCGTCTTGCTGGATATCCGCCTGAACATCTGCTACAGTCTTAGCTGTTGCGTATAAGCTGTGCACACGAAAAGTGACCGAAGCGCCCTCGATGTGATTCCTCGATAACTCCTCCTGTTATAACAGCCGTCGTAAGAATGGATGAATAAAATATCGGATGAGTGAGTCGACGTAGTGTGATGAGGACTTGATGAGGATGTGAACATCTGATAAGCGCTTTATGGTGGCCGCGTCTAATTTACTAAATTAGACGCGGCCACCATTCGGGCATTACACAGAGATCAGTAGAAGAAATCGCCAGCAGTCGTTGTGCGGCCAGACTTTCAAGTCAAGAAAAGAACGAGCTAACTTCAGGCATGCATACTAGTGGTACACAGTCAGAGTTCTGGATGGATTTTTTACTGGCTACTTGCTAATTGTTTACGAGCATGGTATGTATTATTTGACACATCTTTCACACTCTCTGCTCCGGGGGAATATTGACCCACTTCCCTTCAAGGATCTGACCATACTCCGTATCATCAAAGAACAGACAATATCCCTGCTCTTCATGGGTAGCTGCAGAGGTAGAATGGATTGTGATGTTTGGACACTTTTCCTCCGGAAGTGCATTATCTTCAGTGGGATCAACATCGTTGCTCGCCGTAGCCAGCACAGTGCCTGTTGGCCCCACAAGTTGAGCAGAGAAAGCCAATTTAAAGACTTTTTTAAACACATCTTCCTGGTTCGGCTGATCACTTTGTTCGACCAGGGAGTAGATTTGGTTCACTACATCTTGATGAACAGCAATAGTTCCCCGGATTCTGTTTTTGGTCTCCCGGCGCCCTTGACAGCCAGCACAAAGAGTGTCTAGACCACGAGCAAGGGAGGTGACTACACCAATATTGATGTTGTTGTACAGAATCTCGAGTCTGTAGGAACCGGTATAAGCATGTTCAAGGATGTCGGCAACAATGATAAAGTGGCGATAGTCAGCGACCTCCTCGAACCTGTAAGGAGGAATCCCGGTGCCTCTCAATGCGGGAATGATGGGATGGCTTATTCCATATTTAAGCCGGGATGCAAGGATATCAAGGCCGAAGTAATCCTGGAGAGCCTTAAGGTATATGGGGCGGTCAGCCTCTTGAATGGGCTTTGAGACATCGATGGAAACCTGATTATGTGTGAGAGTGTAGGTATACCCTGCCATATACATGGAGTGTTAAAACATTTAATCAGTATAAAAATGCTTGTGAACCTTACACTTCTTCACACCCTCATCAGCCTGCAAACCATGTACATCGTTCGAGGTCCAGTAAATATTGCTATCATTCCGGTATGGTTCAAGTTCTGAAGATTCATCAACTGTAGCATCAGGTTTCTCAGACCAGTTGCCACCGGGTTGGACTTGATATTCAGTCAGGATTCATAACTGTCTACCCTTGCAAATAAGAGCTCACCAAACTTAATGAGTTTCCCCTCTTTATCGCGGTACCCTTCACCCATCCAATAGTTCGGATAGATATATTCCCAAAGGGCAAGAATACGGTCAATATTGGCGTGATGCAAGTAAAAAATCGGGTCGAATCCTGCATAATCATTGTTGGACTAAGCAGAGGACATACCAATTTGAATTGATCTAAAACCACGAGTGTATGAAGCCTCACATACCATATGCCCTAGTCCTCCAAGGAGAAGATGTACCGAGTTGTGAGGATGCTCAACACTCCCTGCAATATGAAGGTAAAGCCTCAGTGTAAGTAGGAGAATCATCACTATCAGATTTACCAGCTTTGTAGTCTTTCATTCCTCTTGCGATCTTAGTCTTGTATGATTGGAATGTTGTGTTTGAAAACTCATCCCAACTACAAATCATCAGTGAGGCGTTGCATATTTTGTTCATGCTTGGCATGATATACTCACATAAATGGGTCCTCGTCCTTTCCAGCTGCAAGAGGAAACGTAAAGAGGTGAGCAACATTGCTCCTCAAACTTCTCCATCCATATCGATTGTTCTTATCATCATCAGTGAGTAAACTAAAATTCAAAGGGAATTGAAGTATTCGATTCGGAGAGAACAACAACCACATACTCATCGATGCTTGCATATTGTTCTTCTGGGTGAAGGCTATTTGTAGGCCAACGATAGGTTGAAGTCCAATCCTTGAAGTACGCTGTTTGTCCAACTTGAAAAGGACTCCATCTATCATCTTTTGAGTTCTCCATGTTTTGGAACCCATCAGGACGAGGATTCTCAAATTGATATGTAGCGAGAGGATTGTATTCGAGACGCCTTTGAGTCCCGTTCGGTATTTGCAGAACAACTGCGTGAGGCTTTAAAAGAGCTGGTAATCCTTCTTTACCAGTACTTGGATCTGTCCAGTCCCAATAGCTGTTATCACAAAATATTGATTATTGGTTTGAGTTGAAAGAGCAGTGTGATACACATACGGCCAACGGAGTTGCTGAGCAGCAGTGATCCAGATTTTCTTAACAGCGTCAGAAAGTTCTTCAGTCAACTCTCCAGCAATGACAAGGGCTGCTTCTCCGATGGATTGCTAAAAACCATTTTAAATGAAGGACTCGGTAACATTTTCGAAAACACTGACCTCGAGCGCGAGAACATATGGACGATGCCAAGTCGGGAATAGAATAGCTTTATAAGGGATGAATCAAACTCGGATTTTCCCAAGGACAATGACTCAACCTGACTCACAGGCATGGTTGCAATAGCCTGTGTGTGATTTAGAACCGCGAGAGCGAGGAAAAACAGAGAAGCAACTACACACCTCCATATTCCGAGCTCAATGGTCCTGGAGCACCTTTGGGATCACCGCTACGTATTTTCCAAATTTATTTGAGGGAATAAAATGCGGCCGGGAACAATGACCATTACCTCCAACGCTGAAACGGAAGACCATGGATCCCACCTGTGTAGAAATCGTTGTTCAATCGATGGTGTATTCACATTTCTAGAATTACTAACCAAGTGAAATAAATTTGGCAGCCACTGGCTTATATTCCGCCTGCTGGATACGTTGTAAACCGAGGTTGAAGAGGGTCCACTGCTCATTGATCTTCGCTAGTTCTCGGACTTCCAGACGCGGGTATACACCACCTAAATAAGAGTTAAGGGACAAAATTCCTCAAGTCCTGGGCCTATAGACAAACCTGGACGACCATGTATGAAGTAGGGGATATCAGACATCCTGCAATGAAATGTGGAATGGGTATAACTCAAGGAAGCTGGTGCTATTTATGCTGTTGAGGTGCTGATATTGTTCAATGTTCCGAGTACCTAGCAAAGGGATCTATCTTGATATAGAGACAATGTCCTCGTGCCAACGTTGCTTCTTGGCATTGTCATGTTTTGAACATTATGGAAGAATGTATTCATCTGGAAGTATGAAGGTGTAAACGTGCTTGTATTCGTTGGGAATTCGAAGGCAAGTAAAGCTCACTTAGTCTCCAGTAGTTTCTCTCTCCACCGTCTTTCAAAGTTCGAACTCTGCTACAATTGCTTGCGGTGAATAGGCTTGGTTAAGAGAATTGAAAGACAGGTGGAATTTACTAGCCTCCCAATTGACTTCGAGGGCCATCGATCATCCCATGGCACTAGGCCAGATTGACGGGCTCCAAGAACTACGCCTCCACTGAACACGAGTTCTTCAACACAGAGGACTGATCCCAATCGGATTTGACACTAGAAATTGAAGACTTGACGGAGTCTATATAGGTCAACCAGGATTGAGAAACTGGGGTTGAACAAGTAGTGCCGAGTGTGTTGAACGTTATCGATCCGAAAACTTCGTGTCAAACTGCATACCCTCTCCAAAATCGAAATTTTTCCACCGTCTCCGCCTCAGTAGCTCAAGGACTTCGAAACGCTCCGATTCCGTGTACGCCATGGGACTTCGTCCTATTGATATTATCATCTGCTACAAATTGAAACTTTTAGCGGCAGCTGAGGGAATTAGCAATCTTTTCCGAGCTCAAAACACCGGCTCCAATAGAAGTATTCTGCCCAGCACGAAAACGAATTGTTCTGCCAGGTGCCCAGGACACCTGGTGACTTCTAAGTATCCCGTTAGTACCACAGAAAAATCGCGTTGAAATGGCCAGTCAACATAATAAGGCTTTAGAATGAGGAGGAATTGGGAAAGTCAGCTTCTCTTGTCAATTTCCCAATCAGGCGCATATTACCAGCGTGCCCAATTCTAATAGAATGCGCAGTCCTTCTCATACGGAACGAAGATGAATGTGACGAGAGGAATGACATGCAGACCCACCTCCTTCTTCGCCTGCTTATGATTTTATCTAAGATGAATCGCAGCTCGCTCTTTCGACATAGGATCTAGACTGAAGCTAAGTTTTGTCTTACCTGATTTGAGTGCGGAGCGGACCTACTCGCGATGTAGTACCTGGGAAGGAAACGAAGAAGCCATCCACAGCTATGGCATGTTCGGTAAATGAGTTGGTGCTCTGTAGCCTAGTGTGCCCTTTAAGATTTGTTTAAGCAGAATTAATCCTAGTATCACTTTAGAAGCTCTATCTTTTTACTGGTATGAGATTTGTCCACCTTCAAGTTCGGATGAATAAATTGTCGAGAGATTTTCTATGTCAACCATGAGGCATTTGATCAAGAGTTCTGAGCTCTTATGTCTCTTTCAACAAAAACTCATTGTAGGAGGGATGTAAAGGTAGAGTGGGAGACCCGGCCCTCAAGTAATCATTTGATTCCGGTATGTATTTACTAGGCGCTTATTTGATGAACGACTACAACGATGAACTCGTACCCGCTTGAGCTGATAGCTCAGCTGGCCCCAGTGATGTTCGTCGCTGGGCTGAATCCAGCATCATTGAATAATGCGAATAACGTGCCAAACACTACTTCCCCTCCCCTGCAATCTATTCAGCCTCCTCCACCGACACACCATTCTAGAAATCCTTCGTTAACAACAATGACTACTGTTTCAGGAGCCGATTCAGTAAATTACTCTTTATCGCTGCCACCATCTACTACAGCACCGAATCTGCTAAGACCAGACCCATTCACCATTCTCACCTCGCGTTTACGCGAAATCCTCGTCCATCAGCGGAAGATCACTGTCTGGGATACGCCTACAGCGGACAAAGTATTCCAGGTTATCTTGATTGATAAAGATGTGAAATTTCCGCCGCGGAAGGTCGAATCTAGCCCTGGGGCTCCAGCACATTCACCGTTATCGCCGTTAACACCTTCCTCTCCTCTGCATCCAGACGGGTTGATTGCGCCAATATGGATTCGAAAACATACAATGCTTGTCCCAGCTGTATTCGTGCTGTTTATAAGATTGTTTCAAGCTGACGATCCAAGTTCTATTTATGCTTATTCTTTGGGAGTTGAATATAACACCGAATTCGAACAACGACTGAAGGAGTTCAGGGACCTTGCTGACCGGCGCAACGACAAAGACACTGATCGCGTCGTAGAACGTGTCAAGGAGCTGGAAAGGCTCAAGGACACAGAGCTTGCTGCTCTCATTGCACAGCGGAAACGCAGTACGAACGAGCGAGGAATCAAGCTCACTGTTGTGCTTATGGCTTCGAGGAAATTGTTGGACGATTCGGCCTCGGGAGCTGCTGGCGGATTGGGTTTAGATGCTAGGTTGACGTTTATTAGACGACAGTCAGGGCTTGACTCGAGAGCTGCGCTGTTTGTGTTGAGTCCTATTCCGAGGGAGGAGTTGAATGACTTTGTCAAGAGGTATGTGTCTTTGTTGTCACATTCTTACTAGCGATTTTAATTACCTGTCGCTATATAGCTTGCAGACTGCACTGTGGGACCCAGCTGTAGAATACTACACCGCTCATTCCAAACGCGTAAGGCAGAAACGGAATCGACATCAAGCTCAGTCAGCTCAGTCCTCTCATCGACCTACTCCATCAATTGTTGCATCGAGCTCGTCGTCTAACGCATTGGGCGCGATGAGTGCACTTCCCGCCCCACTCAAACCCGAAGGCTGGACAGTCCGGTACGAATACAAAATGGCTTCATTCGCTGAATTCCGAGGCGAGTACGAAGTTGCTTTGAAGCACTACCAAGACGCGTATGCTGCGCTGACAATGTTGTTCATGGCGCCTGGGAGCTCGTTAGCTATGGCGTCTGGTGGGGTGGGGGTTACCATGCCTATTTCCACTTCGATCTCTACATCTACGATGCCTACCTCTACCTCTTCGATGTCTGCAACATCCTCAACCTCTGCAGCTTCTCGAGCTGGAGTCAGTTCTCCAGTCCCCGGCAACGGTGGCTCCCGCACTAAACGCTGGGCGGAAGCTAAAGTCCTCGCGGACACCATCAATATCAAGATCGTCAAGTTGTATTTATACAATAATGAGACTGGGTTAGCATTGGCGCAGCAGAGGTTACATGTCAGAACGTTTCCTGTTGTTGCTGGGTTTACTGGAGGGTCGACAATGTCAACTAAGACCGGTAGTGCCCCTGTTGGCGGGCAAATTACTCCTTCTTTGAGTGCTGCAGATGAAGGCAGCTACGAATATTGGAGCTGGGTAAGTAGGATGTGGTGTATATTGGCTGAGATGCTCGTTGAGGGGACGAGAACTCGCGGATCACCTGGTTCTCCTCCTATTCCTCCAAGTCTCATTATACCAATCCACCGACCCCGTCTTCCTCCTTCCTCCGCAGCTGTTTCAATCACTGACAGTGGCAGTAGGAAACCAAGCCCCACACCAGAATCACTCCTCCATTCCGCCGCCCCTGGTGTGAACCCGGCACATGCGCTGATGCACCCGGGGTGGTATTACCTTCTCGCGGCGGAGTGTGCAGAGAGGAAGGTTGGGAGGTTTGTTGAGGGACTAAATTTCGGGGCAAGTGATGAAATGAAGGAGCAGAAAATAACTCATCTGAGAGCATTAGTGGGAGATATATTGGAAGTGAGTATCTCCCTTTCTTTCGCTTTATCAAGGCTATCATATTCACACTTGCTTCCGAACGTCCACGACTTACATTTGCCATAGCTGTACACCAAATCATATGAACTGTTCAAGGCGTATAGCAGTGCTTCTACCACGACGACGACGAACACGACTTCCCGAACTCACACTCTCAATGCGTCCATCTCATACCCACTCAGTATGACTACATCTATTTCGAACGCCTCGAATGCGGTGGGTCCTTCGAATCCACCTACCAACACGTCAACAAGCACTACAGACAGACTTGCGCTATATATCGCTCATCGTATCGCCCTCACTTATGCGCGGTTCCCTGATCCGAATCGTCCTGACCTTCGTTCGACGAACTCTTCTAATGATACCTTGCGAATCTCAAAAGACTCTAAAAACACGGGCGATCCAGCTGCTGACAATGCAGAAGATTTGGACGAACCTGGTACTTCAGATAATGCTCCACACGAGCTAGAATCGCTCTTCGCTGAGTTCGACTCCTGGGCTCGTGAATTTTCTGCGGACGCAGACGAAGACTTGTCTGAATCACTGGACGAGGGTAATTTCAGAGGGAAAGACCCGGAGAAGCTTGCGTTAGCTGCAAGGTTCCTTGCCAGGATCGCGAAGAGTTATTGGAGAGAAGGGGTTATATCTTCTTCTTCCTCGTCCTCCTCTTCTTTCTCTGCATCCACATTCAGTTCGGCCTATCCGACTCTTCCTTCTATGTTTCCGGGATATCCATCTAACGCAGGCTTCTTAACATATCCCACTGCAAAATACAATACAGAGGACGACAGAGAAAATGACGAAATATGGGGATGGCCTGCTCTCCTCGTTCCGCTGCTGAGGACCTGGAGTGGGATTCTAAGAGAGTTGGTCGGGCGGGGTATCAACGAGATGAGGAAACTTTCCAAGACGCTCCGAACGTCGCAAAAGCTGGATTCACTGTATAAACTAAACAGCACACCAGAAAAGCTGGAGAGTCTCGAAGCCCACTTCGATTCATACACTCGTGTACTCATTTCTAGAATAAGCGTCGACCGAGACGTCGAATTTTCAAGGAAGAAAGAGGAGATGGAGATACAGAGGGAGCTGAAGAGAGTGATGGAGATGTGGGTTGGTGTGCAGACTCTGAAAGAAGTGCTGGATAAAACCTCATCTGACAGCTCTAGCACCAGGGAGGTGAAGGTGATTAGGGTAGACAATGCAGAAACGCAACCGATCTTCGATACCTCAGTGGTATTTTGGTATGGGAGAATTTGGATCTCTCCTTTTTCCCCCTCTGTTAGCTCCTTGTCCAGTTCCTCATCCTCCAATGCTGAATCAATTCAAGAATCTACCCCATTCCAACTGACACTTACTGCGCCCTCACGCGTGGCAATTGATAAACTTGACTGGGTGGAGCTGAGGGTTAGGGTCACATTTGAATACGAGGGATACGACGATTTCGACGAGGGGTATGAGAAGCAGGAGGAGGAAGGAGAGGGAAGAGGTAAGGAAGAGGGAGGAAATGAAGATGGCGAAGAAGACGATGAGGAAGGTGATAACAGAGAGGGAGCTATCAGAACAGATGTTGAAGAGGCTAAGATTGATCTTCGAACACAGGAGATCGAGGTTATCATTCGATCAAACTCCCTTTCGCAAGGCGGGGAGGCTATTGAAACACTCAACGAGCCTGTTCAAATGATTGACGTTGGACATCTGTCGTTTGGTACTGGTTTTGGTTTCGATAAGAAGGCGGATTACGATGGAAAATCATCTACAGACAAAATTCAGGAAATCATCTCCGTATCCTCCTCGAGCCTTCGTTGGACACCTGGACAAGCGGTGATAATTACCGGGTCTGTTCGTGTTTGTTCGAGCGGTGGTGGGGATCAATTCGGGCAAGGCAAGATAAGAGTAAGTGATATGCTTCCTGATTTCAAGTTATTTATCGTTCTACTCTCCAGATATCTTCCGTTCTTCTCCGACTCAACGCCCCTACTCCCTCGCCACCTTCTCAGGGTATTCCCAACACTCCACCATTCGTGCTCGAAATCCCTCTACATGTCCCCGCTCGACGAGGAGCTCCGCCTCCGCCTACGTCATATGTTCATGCACTTGGTAGCAGAGAACTTGGAGCGGGCGCAGGAGTTGGTGGAATTCACACGCAAGCAATGTGGTTCGCTGGGTTCGCGGAGATTCAGCACAGGTACCCTCAATATGGGATTACGGCTCCGAGATGGGTCCCTGTGTCGAGACGTGGGATTGAGAAAGGGCTGGGATATGAAGGTGTTGAGTATGTGATTTGTTATCGCATGCTTTCATAAGCTAGGGGTGCTGATCCTGGTTCCTTCTGTTTACTCCATTTCCCAATCATTTTCTATCACCATGCCACACATGAAATAGAATATCCTTCCGCCCACATCCCGTCACGTTATCTGTGCTTCATTCCGGCGTGGCGTATGTGGGAGAGGAGTATCCCCTGGAGATCCTTGTAAGGGGTTGTCGGTGTGACTTTGGAAGTTCGCGCTCCGCTGATGCAGAGGAGGGGAAGCAGGAAGAAGAGACTGTGGATGAGGAAGTCGAAGTAGTGATGGACGTTCTGTTGCAGCCTGTAGAATCAGACGTGACTGCTGGTGAGTTTACTCTATTCCCGATTACTGAATCTTCGACTTATGGCTTTCTTATAAATTCTTTCCGTCGTCCTTGATCCTTGATCATCATTTACTCACTATTTCTTCTCTATGTACAGTCAACACGATCTCTGTCGGCCCGCACCAAAGTAATACTATGATCAAAGGGATATCGCTCGGTTTGCTTGCACTACATCCCCGGCACCCCTCCTCTCCATCAGACCTCAGGCACACCCTCTGGATTAAAAACACTGGCGGCGCAGGCGACAGGGTGGTCGATATGAGTGTCTGGACGCGGCCTATTCGTAGACATAAACCAGGCAAAGCAGCCAAAAATACATCAGGAATCATCAACGCTAGCGCACGTTCCATGCGCCACCTACCTCACCTAGAAACCGAAACACTAAAGACTGTGACAGTACCTTGTATCGAACCATTGAATGTTCGGTACGACGTTTCTTATCAGAGACGTGTGGACCCTTCTTCGTACACCACTCTCAATCCTGGTGAAGGAGCTTTGTGGGATAGGCCACAAAAACCGTGGTGGTTAGACGACGAAAAAGACGATCATGGTGATGAAGGCAAAGGTGGCAATGGGTATAGAGGCGACACTTGGGAAGAACGCGTAGAAGCTGACGTAGAGGCTGTTCTGGGGACGACGATTGTGTGCGTAGGTGGTGGTATAGCGGATTCTGGTGGTTCAACCTCAGGCAGTGGATTGACAAGTGTAGCTTCTTTAGGCGTGGAAGTTGAGAAGGTCGTGTTGAGGCGGAAGGTAAGTTATTTTCGACTCGTAGCATTCTATTTTCACTACATTACACATGATATACATTAACCTGTCCGAATCGTAGGATCCCCGGAGTACCATCGTGAGGATATTGACCTCTGAGATGATCTTGGGATCGGAAAAAGCTGTCGTAAAAGATGAAGGAGAGGAACAGGAGGAAGATGGGGAACTCAGCTTGTTTCCTTTAGGTAAGCATTCGCCCTCTCCAACCGTGATAATTGCTAATTGCTCGTCGTTTTTTTTAACCATCTACAACATCTCCCACATGCCGCACACACAGAATTCCTACCAGGAGATCAGCTCTCAGATGTCTGTCGGATTGGTATCTCTTCCCACCGGAATGATGAAGAGATTTATATCGATGCGGATGGTGAATTAGAGATTCCTAGTCCAGGGTCTTATGAGGTGCATTGGCGAAGGTTAGTACCTACTCAATCAATTTCATCCCCATTCATATCCCCCCCACTCAGAATTCTCCCCAACAACACCCGCGGCACACCCTCCTCAACGAAGTTCCCCCTTCCCGCTCTCCGCCCACCAACAGATGACCTTATCGCTCTCCTCGACGTGTCACCAACAGCCAGACTCCACGAACCCCTTGCGATGACACTGACCATACGAAACCGTCACCCGACACGAACAGCGGATGTTTATGTGCAACTTGAATTCCCACCTGGGACGGGGGTTGCTGCTAACACGAGCGCGCCGATTGGCACGAGTGTGGGTGGTGCTGTACCCATGGGAGAATCGACCGTGATGTCAAATACAACGTCAACGGCCGGTGAGCAAGGCGGTCAAAGTGCCCAAAGCGGGTCGGCTTTTGTCATCGCTGGCCTTCGCGCAGGTCGTGTTCCGTTACTTCTTGCAGGAACAGAAGAACGAATGGTGTGGATGCTTATACCTATTGAATGCGGGTACGTGCGCCTGCCCAAGGTGCAAGTGATTGATAGGCGGAAAGCGGCAATGGGAACAGCAGGGATGTTGGGAGCTGGTAGCATTGGTTCCAGTTCTAATGCTCGAAGTGAAAGTATAGTTGCTGTTGCTGGGAACGCGATTGATAATGTGGATAAGAATGGTTCGAACGCAGAAGGAGGGCGAGAAGTGAGGGTCGTTGATATTCGATCGGAATATAGAGCGGAGAGGACTAAGCGGCAAGTGGGAACAGATTTGGTTAGGACGGAGGAGGGAGATGATCAAGGAAGAATAGGGACCGTTCTTGTTCTACCGTGAAAGGTCGGAAGAGACATATTTAATCGCTGGCACTGTATCAGCCGTTGAGAAAAACCCTCGGAGCTTGATGTTACCTCAGCATAACTCTGAGCCTTAATCTTGAGGTTAAGGAAAGGAGATGGACATTCCTCTTTGTGCCACAAATGAGGGCGCATTCGCATATACTGTTCTTTGAAACCGGCTCGGAGATTGTTGAATTTTTGAACGATGTGAAGTAATGACTCATACGTATTGCGCCCGCACGTGGCAGGGAATCGAACCCTGTTCAAGTCTGTGTAGTACTTAGACCATGTACAACCAGTAACAAGCTGGGAATACACCCAGTGAACGCCGTTGTTGTTCTCAGACCTTTTTCAAGATCATAGAGACGCTGAGCCTTCATTATAGGCCTTAAGTAAGCTCCACGAGTAATGACTCATGAGTCAAGCATCTAGTTGCAACTCCAAATGAATGTGAACGACGTCCTTGTACCGGAGCCCAGCGGCCTCCCTTGATCCATATGTATGTAGTGGTAAAAGTAAGATTTAAGTCAGTCGGCGCTTCAGCGCGGATCAAATTTGCTGGTTCCGACAGTATTTCTATTCTTGTATATGTCAAAGCTGGATTTACTGAACGTCCCGTCGTCGGTCTCCCTGTCTAGAGCTTAGAATTTAAGACAGTAGAAGGACAAAAAAATAGAAATGGTTTCTTTTCAAAAAATTTTACAAAAAATCGAAAACACTATCATGTACTTGTGTTGAGAAAAATGGACTATGATTGGCACAGTACAAGGCTCGATAAACATTGCCTTCAATGCCCGCAGTCATCTATTTCGCTGTGTGGTTGTATAATTTTCTCGGAGTCTAGTGACAATTTGTCCGAAAGCATCAATACAACCTTCGATGATAAAGAATGATCGATCTTCAATGAGATATCAACCCATTGTCATGATATTAATTGCTCACCATCCAAATGTGCATGAACAGCGGCCTCGGAGGAGTTTTATGCTCATGTAGAGCAGGTCAAGCCTCCGTTTCCGTTGGTACAAGCTACATATGGAATCCAAGTTAGCCTGGTGATTTAAGTAAGCCGTAGTTGGTTCATTACTCACCTCCAGAAATAGTGTTTCCGTCGTCGAAGAACTTGCATGAGCTACCGAACTTGTGGGAACAGTTGTTCGGGCAGCGGCAAGCGCTGTCGGGATCAGCAGCAATGGCAGCGACACTGGTGACACCGATGGCTGCAACGAAGACAGCAGAGAGGACAGCAAAGAATCTCATTGTGAGGATTGTTGTTGAAAAATAAGTTTGAGAGGTGGTTGGTTGAATTTCGAGAGTGGCTTGGAATGAAGACAGGATAAAATTTCTGTACCGTTCTTATATCCAAATCAGATTCAAATCCTCCCTGCCATACCGGTAGCCCAATGCTCAAGTTCAACAAAGTCGAACAGTTACCAACCGCATTTGCTATGTTAATCGCTTGATGCAGCTGAGATGTAGGTCGATTGTAAAACAGATGGAAATAATCGAGGCTATTGTACTGCCATAAAGTATACTGTCCATGGACTGGTTGGTGCTTTACATTAGTGGAGCATGTACAGGTCGTCATGGCCAACAACGTCGATTGCACCAAGAACAACTCAGTACCCCACTGCGTACCGGTACTACATTGGCAACTGTATACGTATCAACTTGACTCAATCAGATTCAAATAGTATCATCTAAACGGCGAATGATATATCGACAGTGATAGATTTCGACGTGGAAAAAACAGGCATCCAACTTCACCTCCATCCTATGTGATCTTCGGGAGGCTGATGAAATTGGTATACAATCAATCACAGGTGCTGTCAAGCTTTTTTCTTCTGGAGTCTCGGGAAATGGTGATCTTCATTGACTGGGGAGAGCGGCGCCGATTTGAGCTTGAAGATGCACAACGATAAGTAATTGTGAGCAATTTAATATAATCTTCACCATGTGGTCTGCTCACCTGCTAAAACATGCGATCACGTTGAATATTGTGGTAAGGTATTTTCGATTAATGCTCTTGTTTCCCCCAAGCTTAAAACAATACACTGGGTTGGTTGGTCTTCTTCTCGCATTAACGGGAAGAGCGGGGAGCCAATTGTAACTAAATATACCATTTACATACTTCGCCTCCCCAAACAAAGAAGCTTCTGTATGTAGACTTATGTAGAATGCATCATTCCACCTGCACTAGAGAACTGCAACAGATTTGAGAGATGAGAATGTGGAGCCAGCTTACACTGAAGATGACATCAACTTGGAACTTTGAAATTTGAAATTTGCACCGGTCTTGACGAGAACAAAAATCCGAGGTTCTCGAAAATCAACTTGGACGGTTCCACCAAACGAGCTGTTTGAGGAAATAAGGCTTGTGATGCCCGAACAACTGCTCACACAAGCTCGGAAGCCCCTGTGCTTTCTTCCAAGATGGAAACACTATCAAAGGAGGTTAGTCTTTGTCCGACACTACTAAGAAGCATCATCTGACTCTTCATTTTATGTAGCTTGTGTCAACGGAGATGGAGGCCTCACTTGCTCCACTTAAGCAACTTTGCTTATTGGGAACACCTCCAGGGATCCCAACATGCAAGTGTCTTACTCGCTCAGTTAGTCTGAAAGTAATTAATTCGTCAGTGTACAGGGGCTATTGGATAGCAGGCCTACCTCTTTAATTTTCTAGAAGTCGTTTCAAAAACTTGTTTCGGTGGATGGGATCGTGTATCTGACCGTACATCGATATATGCGTTGAAATGATATATAACTTGATTCTGAATTCTACGGCGCGAGTATCCACCAAATAATGTACCTGCATGTCAGGAACAGAGTGAGACCGCCACGTTTGTGAGGTGAACCTTCATTGATCCCCTCGGGACAGGATGTAAATCGAAAATACCTCGCCCCCTCCTACGATCTCCCATCGATCCCCCGTTACTTCTCATTTCGCACGAAGATCCGGTAACCGCCAGGAGCGAAGCTGTGCGTCTAGTGTCGATAAATCAATCCACGAGCCAAGTTGTTTATCACGGAGAGTGATTCCAGACTCGTGAAGGGGAATGAGACTTTCAAAAGAACCAGAACTAGCTGATGAGGCTAACGAAATTTCCTTTATTGCTCTATACAGAACTAAAAATGCAGTTTAGCTATAGGATATTGAGAGTATGAAATATGTACCATGAGTACTACGAGTTCAGGTACAAATCCTTCCTATTTATCTCTCGAGATGGGATTTTACACAATCGTCAGCCCAAATCCGAATTCGGTCTTCCAGCTTTTTGACGTAGCGCTCATCTTTGCTCTTGCATCAACTGTACATCCTTGGCCAGGCGTGTATCTTGCACTGATTGAACCGACGCGATGTGTACTGTGAATGGGTGGTACTAGCGGAAAGCCGTAATTTGCAACGCTAGGGACATCATTCGCGATGGATTTGGACTTGAAATAGGTCGAACAAACGGTATGCGTAAGTAGATTAGTGATTTAAGCCGGTCAAGGTTGTTGTCGTCTCTGGTGGTGGTGAATGATTACTACCACTAGAGGTTCAGATGTCATGTGACGGGCGTGACATTTTATTCTTCTATACTTCCATGAGCGAGCACGATATAGCGCAAGCATACCTGGTGCTGTTATTCTATCATTATTTTGATACTCATAGATCTTTTCAGATCCTCGACAGACCATGTCAGATTCAAGAACATTCAGCATAAGTTAATCATTCGAATTGACGTCCTCGAGGATTAAAAAATCACTTACAGCCAAGTCCTTTCTGAGAGTTTCTGAGTCCTGTCACCATAGCTTAACGAGATTTCAAACAATTGTACGAAGGTGACGAGCCATGAATCTATGAGCTTTACTGCATTCGGGATAAATACGAACGGTCCGTGTCCTCACCTTTCGACTGAAAATAGAAAGATACCGAAGTTGGTTTGCAGAAGCAGAAATGGCAAAAGGCGCTGGATGGTTCAGAACTTGGGCTTGTCGGCGTGCGGCAGCCTCTGTTTTTATTCACCTCGCATTTTTCTATCCCATTTATCATCGGAAATTGATCGAAGTGCAAAAATTCCTTTAAACTGTACCAGCCTACGAGTTTCATGAACGGTTGCCATCTGCGCCTGGTACGTAGATTATTACTGTAAAAGAATGGTATGGCATCGATCAAGTTCATCCTCTTCATCTTCCCCCATTTTCTCGCCTTTTCCATTTTCAACACGTTTCAGAGCTCGAGAACCTTGCTGTTGGATCTCGAACATTTGAAGGCTCATAACTGTGGTATCACTGGTGTTTGAAAAGGGCTACCCATAAATTGTGGAGGATAAGGAGCAGAATGCGGCTGAGGAGGATAAGCAGCAGGTTGCGGCTGACTCGGAGGAGGATAAGTAGAAGATTGTGGCTGAAGAGGTGGATAGACGGTGGATTGTTGCTGGGGAGGATAAGCGGCTGATTGCGGCTGACTTGGAGGAGGATAAGCAGTGGATTGTTGCTGGGGTGGAAGATAGGGAGTGAATTGTGGCTGAGGAGGATAAACAGTAGATTGCGGAGGTGGGGGCTGAGTTTGAGGATATGCAGTGGATTGTGGCTGAGGTGGAGGATAGGTAGTAAACTGTGGCTGAGGAGCCGGGGGATAGACAGTGAATTGCGGCAGAGGCGGAGGATAGGCAGCGGCCTGCTGCTGTTGAGAAGGATAAGCAGTAGAATACGGATGAGAATATCCACTGGGCTGCTGATAAGAATAGCTATTAGGCTGCTGCATGGAGTAACTTGTATATTGCTGAGGTTGCTGAGGAAAATAGGCAGGAGGCTGTGGTTGAGAAGTATAAACAGTAGGCTGCTGCGGAGGAAAGTAAGGTGCGGGCTGTTGCTGAGGAGGATATCCATAAGGCTGCTGCGGAGGAAAGTAGGGTGCAGGCTGTTGCTGAGAAGGAAATGTAGGGTAGGTAGGCTGAGGAGGATATCCATAAGGTTGCTGCTGGGGAAAATAGGCTGCGGACTGCTGAGGAGGAAAATAAGGAGGTTGTTGTTGTAACGGGAAACCAGTATACTGCTGCTGTGGAGGATAAGCAGTGGGTTGCTGTTGGGGAGGATAAGCAGCAGGCTGCTGCTGCGAAGGGAAGTAACCAGCTGACTGCTGCTGTGGAGGATTGTAGCCGACAGGCTGTTGCCCAGTGGGGAAGTAACCAGTTGACTGCTGTTGTGGAGGATTATAGCCAGCAGGCTGTTGCACAGCGGGAAAAGAAGTAGGCCGAGACCAAGGAGAAAAGCCAGCAGGTGGTTCAGGAGCAGATATTTGAACATTTGATTGTGGCTGTTATTAGAACTAAGTATACTGAATCATGGTAGTAAAACAACATTAGGATTGCTCACCACAAAAGGAGAAGTACTCCTGTGATTGGCGTTCAGCAAAAGCTCTTTTTGGCCAGCAATCATTCCCTTCAGTTCATCCATAGAATTATTAAGATTGGCAACTGAAACACTCAGAACATCCACTGTGCTTTGTAGTGCTGCATTTTTATCTTGTGCTTCATCATCATCCTTAGTTTCAGTTTCCGAGTCATTATTGTAAATATTTTCCAACAATTTGATGGCATGCTGGAATTCTTGATCACTCTTGTTCAAACACTGTTTGAGAACATATTCAGTATCAATACTCAGACTGAGATTGCGGTTACACACCGCTGTATGCCAGCCAGAAAACACTCCACTAGAAAAGCTGTTGACCATTATTTGATGATCTACCTTTTGCCTCTTCCATCCTTGAAGTAAGGATTGCATGCGTAGGTGGAACTCATATAAAAGAATTTCCAGAGTCCAATCCATGTCCACCCATTGTTCAAAAGTAACAGATTTGTCCGACGTTTTGTCTTCAACTTGGACAACAGTTGGTTCATCCCATAATTGGATTTGGCCAACAGTGTGATCCTCTTGATTATTGTTGTCCTGCTTATCTCCGTTATCAAGCAAATGTTTCTTGGCTACGGCATCCAATTGCTGGGCAAGGATATTTTCCAGGAAAGGCAAAAGCCACTGACAAGTCATTCACTACATTTGATTGTATTACTGCAGACTTTTATACTATCACTCACTGATTCAATGCGGTTCCCGAATTGCTTTTTGAGAGGCATAGTGTCCGATATCTCCAAAAGGATGCCACCTTGGTTTAGGAGTTGCTTGGCTAGTGTTTTATGCAACTTTTCGTACTCTAGAGCAAGTGGCATGAGTTTATCATAAACTTGAACCTGCATCACATCCAGGATAAAATTGCCCTGGAAACCAGTAACAGAATACCAGCTGGTAAGCTTGGAAATGAGTTCCAGGGAGAGGACATATTTGTCTATCTTTGCTTTGAGCTTGATATTGTCGGATTTGAACTTCGCCTCTTGGCACACTGTGAACAGCCGGCCTATGATTTTGTCGATCCTTTCAGAGGAGCTAGAATAATGTCCTGATATAAATAAAACACAAATTAGTTTGACAGTTTTCTCACTTGAGTATTGTACCCTGCCATCCAATAGCCCAACTAGAAGAGAATTCTGATGAATCACAGTAAATCTGAGAATCACATAGGCTGAAACTTACAACAAAAGCCATGTTGACAAGGTCCATCCTGCGGGTTTTTGCTTCAAGAAAACATTTACTTCATGGACAGAGATATATCCGCTTCCATCTTCATCAATTGCATCGCTGATAGCGGGATGAACTGTATCATGTATGAATAATGATAGAAATTATTGAGGTTCAATGTGAGCAGTGCGTACCCATCACTTGGGATAAGATCGGAAGTGTCCAATTATCATCTCGCGTGTGACCGTTTAGGATTGAGTACTTTTCAAACTCATTTCTAAGTGAGGAGCAGATTTCTGAGTATGAATTGATATGTCAAAAGTAATTAGGATGTATGGCCAAGTTCCGCACCATCAACAAAGATCCGGCTCTTGATGCTTGCTTTCCAACCCTAAAGACAAATATTGAGCACTTTTTCTATTGTGAACATCATGTACTACACCCACATGGTCTGTCCAAGCCAAAATTTCGGCCTTCAATATAATGATGCAGTGAACTGAGAGCTTACCAAACCAAAGTTTTCTGAACTCAGTATCCTCAATGAGATTATGAGGCCCGGCATTTAACTAAGAAAAACATTGAGCAAGTGTTTACTCCTCGAAGTTGGATTAATCAACCTTAGCTAAAATTTCCGCTTGAGAGCTTTGTACATTGATGTTGATGTCTTTCTTCACTTGTTCTATTTTTGAGCTGAAATTATTCCTATCACAAGTCCATTAGAGTAGATATATAACTTTTCTGAACTAATAATGACTAACATTGATTCCTGGAGTATGTCTTCGATGTCCTTGTGTAGAATGTCCTTGGTTTCTTTGGTGACCTGTTCACTAAAAATTGCTGCAAACTCTACAAGGGTTTTCTCGTCCTGCATTGATTAATTTTTGCAAAAATTGTATGAAGTAATAATTTACCTGAATGATTGATTGTGAATCCATGTTGCGATCAATGAGAAATCTCTGTGCTTCGAGTTCTTTTCGGGTATCTGCTGCACCAAGCTGATTAAGTATTTTCAAAGCAGTATCCATGTTCTTGCTCAAGTCCGCTACGGCCTCCCCAGTGCTTTCAACGGTTGAGGCAATATGTATCTGGAGAAGGTACAAGATATCCTCCTGATAAGTTCTGCAGTTCTGTATAAATGCCTCCAGTTTCGGTTTCAATTCTCCAGCCTTAAGGAACCTCACTAGAAAAGGAGAAGTTCCCTTATGAATGAGAGCTTATAGGGCTAGTAAAACTCACCAAACATCCGCTTATATGTTGTATAGTAAGCACTGGTCTCTGATGTGAGTGGCACCATATAATAAATATCATCTAATTTTCCACTTACTTTGCGACACCACCTAAAATCATAGGAATCAGATTGAGAATACATACAAAGATCGATACCATAACATCCTTACCAAATTCATTGACCAAGTCATAGACTTTTTCGTATTTATTCTTGAGCTCATTTCGAATCTGCTCATTAATATGATGTTCCTCGATATGGCGAATGGTAAGCACAGTAGAAGACTAATACAAAATCAGATAAAATTTGGAAAGAAAGCAACAACGCGTACCAAGGTATAATAGACAATTGTGATTTGCTCGTTGTTCTGCCTTCGATTAAGCTCCTGCTCAAGAATCACCTATTTTGCACAATGAATACATCGTCTCCATGGTCACTCTTTGCGCTGTTTGTACTAACCTGCAGTATCGACACCACTCCCTGTGCTCATAATGTTTCGCTGTCAATCTCTGGCAAAGGATGACCGAAGGTCGGATCTCTAACCTGCGCTATATCATTGGCCTGTGCAATTACTTCTGCATATTGAAGACCGTCATGTAAGTACTCCAGTATCCTTCTTGTATGTTTTGCCTTTTCCATGTTAGATCCTGATTGTGGGCCATTCATGATTAAATGAGCGAGACACGTCCAGAGGATGCAGGGCAGCTACAGGGACTTACTAGAAGAGTCGGCCTGGACAAGGTCGCCTACTCGCTCTAATATATCCGCAGAGCTTTGTCGGGCAACAGACACTACAGTCAAGTAGATCAGGCTCAAAGCATGAGACGAAGAAGATATAGAACTTACGAGGATTGACTACAACTACTTGCGGAGGAATCGATTCTTGAACTTCACCCTTGTTGGGTACGGTTTGCTCGAGGTTAGCAACTAAAACGCCCATTGAAGAATGCGGTGGGCGACATAACTTACGCGCTGTCCTTTTATATTTACTCAAGAACGACGAACACGGAGATTAGCAATTGAATAATATGAATTGAATAAACATCAATGACGAAGATCGACAACACGTAAATATACTTACCGGTTACTTTAGAGCTGAGCGCTGATCCTAAGGCGATACTTAGAACCCCGGAACAAAGGGACAGGCTTGTTCGAGGAGCTCGAGAAATCTGCCAAGTTCTCTCATTTTTTGGTAGTATTTGCACAGTGGTCGACTATATGCATATAGCTCCAATTCTGAAACCATGTAGGAAGTAAAGTGAGATGGCCACGGCAAATGCTACAAGTCGTCAGCATGTCCCCAGTGCAGGGCAGTGAGGAGCGATGCTATATCCAAAGTAAAATTGTGAAATTCCTTCTATATCGGCGGAGATTCGGGGATTCGAGGGGTAGAACTATCATTCAACCGGTTAGCCGTATTTTCAGAAAGATAATGAGGCGTCGAGGAAGTAATTAGAAAAGGTCCGGGTGGCGGAAGTTGGGACCGTTGCCAAGACCGCACATACGCTAACACTTTCTACCAGTTGCACCTGAGTTGCACCTAGTTCCCTCGTAACCCTTTTGCCCCATCAAACTTTATGTACTCATGAGACAAGAATTTCGAAACGACTGTAACCCTCAAAAAATACGGCAATTCTAAAACACTTGGGGAAAAAGCTCTTACGCAAAACATTCAGCATATAAAGAAGCAAAAAGCGCGCTTGGGTAGAGGTCAAACCAAAAACGGAAGCAAAAAAGGACTATACAAACGATTAGTTTGGATATGGACACATCCGGATTTGAACCGGAGACCTCTCGCATCCAGCAAACATGCAAAGCGAGCGCGATAACCCCTACGCTATGTGCCCATCGCATCAAGGAGTTTACAACATTTGATAAATAAAAGCAGCGCGCTTCTAATTATCCCATAGCGCCTGAAAATCGACCTCTTCCAATCCTTGGACCGCTACTTTCAGGAAGCCTCTCTCCTGATCCAACCGTTTCATAAACTCCTTATCAGCTCTTAGTTCATCCACATCCCAATGCGCCCAGACAAAACGGCCGTGTAGCCAAGACGCCTCTGGAGACGCTGCCCAGACGGCAAAGTTTCCTGGTAACGCCACTAAAGTAAGGAATTATTAGCACGGTCCGCGAGCAGAAGGACACTGTGCGTACTTTCATCCCATTTATAATGGCCTTTCTCGAAATACTTGGCTGCGCTTTCCGAATAATGTGTCCCCGGATTGTACGAAATAATCTGTAATTCCTCCACGGGGTGTTCATCCGCAATCCTTCCAATCAGTGTAGTAAACCCCGATTTCGATGTCGCATACGGAGTCTGGTTCGGCAAAGGATACATATGAATATTCGCCGTCGAGAGGTTAATCAGGTTGAGCTGTTCACCCCGAGGACGGATGGGCTGATTCACAAATTTCACCGTCATAAGGAAATTACCACCGATGTTAACATCGAACGCTTCCATGAGGTCTCGTTTATCCATCTTCAACGTATCTGAACCCCAAGGTGTAACATGGGCAGCATTGAGCACCAAAACGCGTACGAAGATGTTTTGTGAGGTTAGGTAATCCCAAAGCGCGGAGATGGATGAGTCGTCTCCAATGTCTCCCGGGCGAGTGATGAATTCAGTTGCAGGATTAGAGTCTTTGAACTCTTCTCGCAGCTTTGAAGCCGCTTCTTCCAAGACAGAGGCTCTGCGCCCCACGATAATAATTCGAGAAGCGGAAGCTTGGGCGAAAGAACGTGCGATTGCAAAACCTATTCCGCTACCACCTCCTGTGATGAGGATTGTCCTGCCAGCCTGGCTAAGAGAAGGCTTGGTAGGGGAGATGGCGGGGTAAGTATCACGATGGTAGGTGTCAGTGAGGCTGTTGGGGTTGCGAGACATTCTGTGGATTCAAGTGGATTGGAGGAAATTAGTCAGGTTGTGCACATTTTATAACCTTAGGTTGATAATCTAGAAGACGTACTCAATTTATTATCAATGTCCAACGGATCTACGCCGGAGTTTGACCACATTGTCTTTACGCATACGTTAGCGATGAGGCTACCAAGATATATGTTCGTAACACATACCATGCACCTGACATTTCCCCTTCGTCTCAGCGAATTTCACAGCCGTTCTCCTTAGCAGTCGATACTAAGCCATCCAGCTGAGCTTTTCCAAGACGTGGATTTCCTGTTGTCAATTTTTATGAAGCTTCGAAACTACGAGTCCGTCTTAGGGAAAGTACGTTCATCTGGCAGAATCACTCTGCTAGAATTTCACCGAAGACAACTGGCACACAATTTTTCATTCTGCATCACTGCCTACCGTCGTCCGTAAATCCATAACCTCGGTTCTTCTTGCATCCATACCAAACTCCTCCACCCACTTTCACCGATCAACTTCCACGCTTCTTTGAACCTAAACTTGCTAGCAGCCCTGACCACGTCCCAATTGACTGTCAAGAAACGGGACACGATTATTCCTGGTTTCACGATTCCTGACAATCCAGTGGGACTGGTGTTGTGGGGGTCCCCGTTCACATCTAGGTCGACTACCCGCCAAATCCTCATCCGGCTTTTCATTTCTACAGGACTCCATTCCGCAATGAGATGAGTTATATTCAGCGATCCAGAGAGCTCCTCAAGAGTCAGGTTTTCGGTTTTGTCGTACACAGTCCATGGATACGTTGGGATTTGATTTTGCGATGAGAAAGAAAGGAACGGAGGGGAATGTTCTTGGAGGAATAAGGAAGCCCCAGTTTGAGCCGCCAGATTGGAGATGTGTACGTGGTAAGCTGTATAAAACACACTTCGGCGTAAGCGAAAAAAGATAACTAATGAAACAAAACGAAGCATACCTTTCGCGTGTGGCCCGAGAGGAGGATATGCTTCGTTGAACTGCCTCAAAGCCACTCCACCAGGATAGTTTGTAATCGACGTCATCGTGAAAACCGCCGTTATAACCGCGTTGACACAAATCATGAACCAAAATGCGAACAAGCACCACCGTCCAAGTTGCGTCGATTTTCGTTGAGAGACCCTGATTTCCGAGGATAGATGAGGAAAGCATCAGCTGAAGAGACCCATAGACAACGCACATCCATCTGCTCGCCCTTGCTGCAGCAACATTGAACACCGGAACAACATAAGCAATGAATCGCCACTCTTTGTGTCCCAAAAAACTCATGAGGCCAACGAATACAATATGTGGTAGAAGAACCTCTCTGATGCGGGAATCCATGACATACCCCAAGCACGCCAAAGGTAATGCGCAGAGAAGAGATTTGGGTAACATCGGGTAAAAGTACGTCCAGAACGGTGAAGTCTGGAGTAGAGAAAGTTAAACGGATGAAGATGTCGAGAAGATTTGTATGTGGAACATACACCCCATTCAGAGCTCTTCCCTTGAAATACGTTGAAATAAACTCCCGATAGCTCCGGGAAGGAGGCCGTCTTCCAGAAGTATGAGTCGACGGCCATGGTTGCGGCTGCAAGCTGAATTACTGAAGTACTTGGTGGACATGGATTGAAATTCACCAGTTGAGACGAGTCCAACGATCATTCCTAACTTGACAACTCCACCAAATGGCACGTATTTCAGGATCAGACATTGCAGAACGAGAGGAGCCAACAACAGCACCAGCTCGGCACGAAATATGACGGCAGTCGACGTTAATAGTGCTATTGCGGTGTACACATTCGTTGACGAAGGTTTGAGCGAATTAGGAGGGCGCGAGAGGAGAAGGGCAGAGGCAATATTGACTGGGAATAAAGCAAACATGTTCGGCAGCGTGCGACCCATCCAGAAAGGCATATGAAATTGTGATATAGTGATGAAAGTGAAGTATAACCCAGTCGGACGCCCAAAGCGACGAGAAACGGCGTGCCGAAGATAGCATAGGCCTAATGCGTTGAGTGTCGATAAGATCAGACGAACTGTATAAAGAGCCAGTAAAGAACTATAAAAATCATTTACACAGAACCAGACCGAGTTTACAAACCGATAATTTGCAAGCCGAATTTACTTGTAACGAATCCGAGTGAATTCGCTAACAGGATTGCTGGATACGACACCCAAGCCAGCAGAACACTTCCTATGAAAGTCCTGGGCACTGCTCCGGGGAAGGTGAAATGATCGTACTGATAGCAGAAAATTGAAAATCACAGTAACAAAGGGATGAGATGCACGTACTTGGTCCAATTTTGTTATCCCATGCATGAGCACATCATGCACGGCGTGAAGATTAAAACTTTCTTCTACTTTGTTGTAAGGAGCTAGCAAGACATGAGTGCATCCTGTAAGGACGATGAGCGCGTCGAGAGCAAAGGACATCAGTCAATGAATGTAGAATGACGTGGACGTGTCAGCGTATTAGTCATGAAAGTTAATATAGACAGCTTTGACCAGAACTAAACTTTTGTTGACCGAGTACAAATGTACATGGTCTTTCAATCTTCATATTCTCTGAATTCTATAACGTCAAGATCCAGTGGACATTTTGATACTCAACTAAAGCAATAGTCAATGGACTCGTCGTTATTAGGTCTTTGCTGCAACGAGAAAAGTGGGTATCGTATCTACAGGTATCTACCTATTTGCTGTTCTTTTCCAGTCCAAGAGAAACCAAGGCAAAAGGTAAAACTTATTATAGCTGCGCTTTTAGCGGCCCAGTGCGGTATGATCAAATGCCCCCAACGTGGACATTTCCGTTCAACTTTGACCAAGCAAACTGCCTGGTAACAACAGAATACCGGAAGTCCAATTAAGTGCACTGCATCGACCAGAACGAACGGGCCACATCAGCGCTATGCTTGGACAGCTGCGTAAGAAGACAATGGACTTCCACAGAACCTTTTCGGGTTATGGCCATTTACTGTGGTCAAAATGCTCAGTCCAAAAACCGTCAATAGCCATATCGCTGTGGCTGGATCTGAAAGGGGGTTAGTGAGAGTATATAGGCATCTTCAACGTCTGCCTTGCACAATCCCGTATCATTGTTGCCATTCACATCACTCCTCTCCTGATCTTTTAACCCCCTATCACTGATCAGCCATGGCCGATGTCGTCAGTGGGCTAACCATCCGACTCCCTCCACTCTCTCAAGTACAATTAAAAAAACCAGGGCCAAAATCGTCGATAGATACCACTGTTCACCGATCGACGTCTTTCATCATTCTCTCCAACCCAGCGTTGACTGATGCGGAGAAAGAGAAGGCCATCCGAGAAATGGCTCTGAGAGGTCATTTCCCCTTGAAGCCGAATCACCAACCCGGAGAAGTTGAGCGTTTGATCAGGTTCTTGAACGAGGGGTCGAAGATGATTGCGTTCGGTCCACACAGAATCATTTGTCATTGCGGCCAAGCGATTAGTTTGGATAATAGGACTTATTATGCTTGGGGCAACTGGAACAAGCACCAAAGCGGACCATGTCCCGGTCCTAGATCTAATGAGGATAAGGAGAACCTGGGCTCCTTCAATGCAAATGAGCAGGGCTCATCCGCCTGCAAGGTAGACGATACCAAAGGCAGCGAAGAATACCTCGAAGGCGACGTAGACAATGCGCGAATGGGTTTCGATGTCGCGGCTACGACCCAACAACGTCCTATAGTTCAAATAAACTATCCAGTTCCATATATCGAACCCACTGCTTTCCATGCGAGACTTACTCTGCCCCATGATACTGTCTGTGATACAGACTTGTCCAGGCATCCGCTCGAGCTGGCTCAGGTGCTCTGCGAGCTTCCCACCAAGCTTGTTATCTTCTCTCCTATAGGCGAAGACATGACTGCAGTCTCGATTTTGGCATCAATGAGGATTGATGCACTCGAACATCGTCGGGCTGCGCGCGCTGGTCGAAAATATTCCCCAGTGGGTGCGATTCGACCTCGCATCTTTCCGTCAAAAGGCCAGTACGATACCGATCCTTGATTTAGGGCTTCTTCATACTCGAAAGCCTTGGTAGACCTTCAAGTTTGCATTCTAATATCGTTACTTACTAGATATCATCATTTACTATACCACTTTGTGTTGATTCATCCATATTAATTTTACACCTCAGTCTTGAAAGACTTACATCTTCCAATAATTTCGGTCGCGTACTTATAAGTTCAGTCCCGACTCCAGAGTAGGTCATTTGATCGGGATTAATGGAACCCGTCTTGGAACTTGGGCGCTCATCGAGCTTCACTGGTTAGTCTTGCTCCCCGATACAATGGACTACAACTCGAACCGTAATTATGCCAATAATTTCATTAACCACAATTTCTAAATCTCTTCTAGTGCACTATCATCCAGCGTAAGCGTCGACTCTGTACATCCTCCAATATCAAGCGTAATACTCTGGGACTGCTAGTCCCTCACTTTTCGCACATTCACATAGTTTCACCATCAACGGCGGAAATTTTCATGCTTTCCACGATCGGGTTGAAGGAGTCAGTCATCAGGATTCAAATTCTGGAGGTATCGATATCGTGCGTAACTGTACAGCTTTGTCTCCTTTATCCTGCTAACTGCAGCTCGGATGTAAAGGTTCCAAGGCACTATATTCGCACCGGAGAGGTTGTTCGTGCAAAGAAGGGATGGCGCTTCAATTCTGCAACAAACCGTAGCGCAAGAGGCAAGAAGAAGAAATCGTCGAGGACCGATATACTCATTCAAACGTTTGAAGGACCGAAAGCTAAACAGGTCAGCCGCGATCTTATTTCGCCTCAGCCTGCGCCGGTAACTTTGACTACAGCGATGGGAGAGGACGCTTCGCTTTGCTCGGCATCTAGTGTGAGTTTCTCGAGCTAGAAACATCCACAACTACATATACTAATCCCGATTTGAAGCAACGCCCATTTCCTCGACATCGTGGGGACATCCCCCACCTCAGCGTCTCAAGCAGAGCCCCACTACATAGTTTTCGATGGAGGTTGGTCCATGTATCATGTTTCAACTTAACGGTCTTCAAGACATGTTACAGTCGCAAAACGAGACACGCGTCGTCTGATTGCATCTATGTTGAGGAAGGGGGAGAGGGAGACAACAGCGCAGGGTTTGCGGACTGTAAGTATGTACTTGATCAACGACAAGTGTTGTTCACTCACCGTTGTCCAACAGATCCAAGGCATTGCGGTAAATACTCTGATGGGCGGTACTCCGAACCAGCGTACTAAAAGCCTAGATGCTAGTCTGGACTTGATTATCTGACAAATGTCCGCCCAAGCTTCTCTATAGATAATGTTGGCTTTGAGGTCAGTTGATACTTTTCATGGTTTTCGCCCTCCATTCACTTTGCAGATAGCACTTCGATGTATTCTCTGATGATCGAGGTTGCATCAAGCTCTCTTTTACGCCTGATTGTCCCGAGTCTGCAATCGCGGACGCTTGGACTACGCCCACCAGTTCCAAAGCACTTTCTCCGACCACATCTTCCATTCTAGATTCCCTAATAACGAAGGTAAGGCTGTGTTGTCATACGTTGCACTGGAACGAAAATCCTGACAGTGTTTATCTAGATCTTCAATGATGCCAACCACATAATATACAGTGTGTTTTCCTGCCATATCATATTCGAAAGGGCCTTATGTCCTTCCGTGCTAGGAGAGAAGCTTGACCGACATAACGGAAGCTCACAAGACCAAGACGTTGAAGATGAAGATATCTTTGTTCCTATTACCAGTAACGTCTTTGACGTCGAAGTCTCTAATACAAGTATTGACAACGTTCAAAGCTCTGGTAATTGTCGGAGAGAGATCATCTGGAGACCCTCCACCTCCGAGCGGAAATTATCCTATATCTCTGAAACATATAGTGATCTCCTGCTTTCTCACTGTTCATCATATTTGGATGAAAACGGCCAACTTCAGATACTAGTTCCTCTCCCCCGTCGTTCTGGGCGAAGCAGATTGACAACATTGCATAAATGCAAAGGTTACCTCCGCGAGGAAGTGACTTTTACTCCAGATGCATACAGGAATGCTATCATGGTTTTTGAAAAGCCTTCGCAGGATGAAGTTTGCGTGATCTGTGGTCAAACTGTTCCAGTGGACGAGCCAAGCGATTACACAGAGGATAAACTTCAAAACCATCGGGCTGCTTCTTTAAATCTTTCATTACCCTCGTCAAATAATCCAGATTCCTCTTCTGATCTTTCAACCCCAGGTTCCGTCGCACATTTTCTAGATCTCCATAATATCCCAAAATCAGTGCCCCAGCCACCATACATATCATCAGACTCAAAAATGTTGCAGGGGCAATCAATGGCAGAGTTCGAGGCCCTCTGCCGGAATTACCTATCTATGCTAGCAAACAACCTTACTAATGATGGGCTGAGTCCTGCAAGTGACAATATTTTTCCAACGCAGCCTCCGGAATTTATGCGCAAGGAAGGAGAACCAGTATATCGTCTTCCCGAGAGGTATATCATCTGATCATGTCGTTTTCTCACTTTACTGACTTTATGGTAATCTCTTCCTTCCCTCTCCCTTACTTTTCAAGCAGCCCCTATGCTGATCTCCCCACTAGCCCCCTATTAGCCATTGACTGGGATGATTTGCTTACCTCTCCATTATCAGATTCCATCGGTACTCCCATTATTGATGAGTTTGAGTGGCCAGATGGACTCTTCATTGGCAACGACGATGTTCTCAATGTAGCACTCACTAGCAGCGGCTGATAACGCCGGTAGTCACACGTCCTTCTCGTTGCCCAGACACACTCCTTATCACGATGACGATATCGCTTCTCATTTTTAATTCTAACTTCATCAATGTCATTGTTATTTAGCATAAGCTGGTATAGCCGGTATTCGTTGTGAGCTGGACGACCCAGTGAATCGGGGAGTAGAGAACATGAAAAAAGAATGGTATTCGTTTGTCTGATACCCTGGATCGTAATTTCCACCAGCTCAGTCCTCTGCAGATATGCTCAAACCGAGAAGCTACTTCATTCATGGTTGGTCGTTTTGACGGATCGTCGTTGGTCATCTCAAAAATCAAGTCTTGCAGAAACTCAACGTTTCGCCTCGGTGAAAGTCCAGCTTCAACCCAACCCTATGAATTATAAGGGAAATCAAGACCTGCAGATATAGATTGGAACACTCACAGATACAAATCTTCTTCGAATGACATTTCCCATACAATAAACATCCACTGCAAACGGATTACATGGTTCATTCCTCTTGAATTCGGGAACAGATTGATCACCGCCATAACCAGGACGCAGCATCGGAGTGCCCAATGATGGATCATAATGCCCTGACAAGTTCCAATCAATGAAATAGTATTTGACTGGATGAGTAGTGCGACTGTGGGGTTTGGCCAAACCACTCCAGTTTGCGTTCATGGCAACATTTATTCCATGAGGGGGAATATCGTAGATTGGAGACCAGTCCATCATTATGTTGGTGTCCTTAGCGTCGCTATAGGACTACTGAGACAGAATTAAGTGTATCATGAGAAAACACTCACTTATGTGCGATATTCAGGTTATGCATGAATTGTAGGCCCTACAATCGATGATTCCAAAACTATGAAAAGGCATGATGGGCAAGACACAAACCTCGAACATCTGCTTGCAGAAATCTATGACTTCCCCCACAGTGTTGAACTCTGCATCATCCCAGCGAGCTAAAAATGGCATTACTGCAATGATATTTCTCTGTGTCTCGGTCTTCGGTCCTTCGAGGGCTTCGTAGATAGGGACGCAATGGTTCCGAGGGTCTGAGCGTAGCTCTGGAGATGAGAGTAAGCGACCAATTTTCAACTCGTCGGAAACAGAAGGTGGATCCGCCCGTCGAAGTAGGACGGACTTCCCGTCTTGAATGCGGATCGCGTCGACGTTGTACAAGCACTGTAAGGATTGTCCGCATAAGCCACAGATTGAAGTCCTCGACACTCACTTGTGGGATATAGTAGTCTTCGAAGTCCTCTGGGGATAGATCATTAGTCCCAATCCAAGAGGCAACCCATCCTGGATTATACCGAGGTCGAAGAAGGTAGCCGCGATCCTTAAGCCAATCATAATGGTCTCGCCAAAACTCTTCAAAATCTTGAAGCGAAGCGTGCCGAGCATAGACAGCTTCCATGAGTTATGTGCAGTGGTGGTTGGGAAAGAGGATTTATTGTCTACACCGGAACAGACTTTTCTTACGTTGGAGTTCCCGTGACGTTATTGACCTGTGATTCGCCTGAGATGACGAAGATCACTAGCATGAAGCTCAACATCCAGAGTTCGAGACAGTCTTCAGCTTCAGCAGTGACTATCGACCACGGAATGTAACGACTCGTCCTTCCTTCATTCTCTACCCAGCCATCTCCTCAAAGCCGGCAGCCCACCGTACTTAATGACATTAGTTTCCATGACAAAATTCAGCGCTTCGCGTTTCCGACTTGGAGAGCCTGATAAAGCATTTTAGATTCAAGTTGTGATTAAGATGAGAGATAGACGTACGGATCAACAACCACCCATCGACTGAGAATGTGTGCTCATGCGTAAGTTACCTCGACTAGAAAATGTTGAAGGGTAGGAGGTCATCAACTAATCCTTGAGCAAAAGAGCTATTCAGAAGTGAGGATAGATCAGTTTGAGAGAATATTTTCGAGTCTCGAGAGCAGTGGCGCCGGGGAGAGACCTCAGACACGACGCGTTGCATGATACTATGTATCACATGATATTTCCCTCGACGCAAAAGTTATGGACAATTATTTGGTAGGCCTTTTCCCAATTTTCCAACCCCTCCTGCATAACATATCGTTAGCCCATCAACGCTATTTCCGCCGTCATCCTCGTATCTGGCAAAATACTTTCCGAAGAAGAAAACTGGAGTGGGCCCAACATTCCTCTTGTCCTGTACCGGCAAACTCCCCCTCCTGCAAACACACTTGATGATGCGTATACCAAGGGCAGTCATCATGACTTCTCCGACACTTATCCAGCCTGTCCCAAACCGCCTTTCGCAATCCCGCCACCTGCAGGCCTGACGCTTCATGTCTCCCTTGGGAAGCTCGTTTCTGAAGGTCGTACAGGAATGATTTTTGAGTGTGAATGCGCCATTCCTCACGGCAATGTAATGGGTTTTAAAATTCCCCCTGTGGTGATCAAGATCGCAAGACAGTCTCGTACAAAAGACATATCGAGAGAGGCAACAGCTTATGAATGCATGACAAGGATACAAGGCTGTGTGGTTCCACGATGTTATGGCTTCTTTCAAGTTCGGTGCGTATATTTTGTGTGTTCGTGCCCACAACACGTAATGCTAGCTCTTTTTCTTAGTATGTTTGAACACTTCGATTTCGGCCCAGTGTCTGTTCTCATTTTGGAAAAACTTGGGGATTTATTCAAACTCGGAGAGCCCCTTCCTGACGGTGCAAAGTACGTTTCGAAGATATGCACTCTCTATAACTCTGATAATCCATGCAAGATCTGACATGAAAGATGCTTGCTCGGATCTAGCACACGTACGCATTCTACATGGTGATTTGCGTTGGGCAAACATGCTTTCTGTTTTGCCTGGTGGTCTACCAAGTCTGGCGTCACCGTTTACTGGGAAGACCTATGGCTGGAGGCTTGTAGACTTTGATCGCGCTGAAAGAACCACTCTATCATTGCCTCGTGCTCAAAGGTACTATAACAGCTACTTGGACCGGGTGCTGGATAGCATTCCATGGGGTAATCCTGTTGAGCCGTGGGACTGAATATTAGGTGATTCATTCCTCTTCTGCCTGTCACCCTATAATGTGCTTGGAGTACACAAGAATGAATTGCTATTCGATGAGATTATCTTCCTCTCAGCCAACATGCGGACGAAATTCCTGTCTGGACGCATTCCTGCTAACAACTCCATCGATTTTGCTGCTATGGGCGACATTTAAATCATACCCTATGCTATCCAGATAAACCGTCATAATCGAGGCTTGTGCAATGCGAAACCGAATCTAAGTAGTGGACATGTCAAATTCGGTTGTACATAATGTATGTAACGAGAACACCGCAATCTTCTGGTGCGCTAAGCACCATAGCAATGAAGGAAGAAAATCCATAGGGTCCGTAGGTCGCTTGACTGAGCGTTTGCATTCAGAGCGGACTTGGTCAGACAGTCAACGTTCAACTTGTCCAATATCCAGAGCATCCTGCTACTGCTTCAAGAATGTATGTTCTGGCGTAAGTTAACTCGACCGGGAAATGTCATAGGATAAGCATCAAGTAATAAGCCTTTGTGAGACGAATTCCGGAGCGAAAGAGCTGTTCGAAAGTGTGGATAGTTCAGTTTGAGCGATCGAAGGATGGAAGACTTTCGAAACTTGGAGTATTACTGACTAGGCGCCGGGGGCGCGCTCTAATAATACACGTGATAGTATTATTACGTTCATCGCCCACAAACCGTTACTATGGTTCACAGGGTACTTCCGTAAACAGGGTACTTCCGCATTTTCGAAAATCTCATATTTTGAACGTTTTAGGTCGATAAATGCTCTCAGACTTTTTATGTAGTACTTTCTAGGTTCTCTATAAACATACTGTACTATATGAAATAGATTGTATTTAGGGGATGCATATGTACAAGACCAAAATACTGTAATATACAAGCGTGACTTTAGATTGAAGCCTCAGGAACCGTACGAAGAGCTGGTAGATAACTGTAAAAATGACATGGGCATTAAGTAGAGGTTCTCATTAGCTAGCATAGCAAATTTAAAAGCAATCCAATATGTTGTAGAGATTCGACAAGCAGATAAAGTGAAGAGGGTATGCGACGTGACAATATTTGATTCCAGCTTCATGCCGTAGCCTCGGCAAACCTCTGACACTCTCCAAAAGCGTGATCAACACAAGTTCTGCCTCAACCCAGCATCAAATGGCCAAGTGTGCCAGAGTGCCGAGCAGCGGCATTGATGTGACTCAGTGTGACCCAAGATGCGGAAGTACCCTGTTTTTCCTCGGTCATGGTCCGACGCTCTGTTTATGCCTTATCTGCTTTAACATGTAAGACAAAAGACAAGCTTAACATGATTCTAAATAAGACTGTCTACTCAGATTTTTATTTACTCAAAAATTTAAGACGTTATTCGCAATATTCAAGAAATCGGAAGTACCCTGTGAACCATAGTAGTCGCGCTGTATCTCTTTCTTAATTCGTTCCACATCACACAGAACTTATGGAGAACTATTTGGTAGGCCTTTTCGGCAATTTCTCAAACTTTCCTGCATAACATATCATCAGCCCATCAACGCCCTTAGCGCTGTCATCCTCGTATCTGGCAAAATACATCCCGAAGAGGAAGAATGGAATGGACCTGACGTTCCTCTTGTACTGTACCGCCAAGCTCCCCCTCCTGCAGACATACTTGACGATGCATATTCCAAGGGGAGCTATCATGATTTCTCCGACACATATCCACCCTGTCCCAATCCGCCTTTCGAAATCCCGCCACCTGCAGGCCTAACGCTTCATGTATCTCTTGGGAAACTCGTATCTGAAGGTCGTACAGGAATGATCTATGAGTGTGAATGTACCATTCCTCATGGTAATGAAGTGGGATATAAGATTCCACCCGTAGTGATCAAGATCGCAAGGCAGTTTCGTACCAAAGACATATCGAGGGAGGCAACAGTGTATGACTGCCTGACAAGTATACAGGGCTCCGTGGTTCCACGATGCTATGGCTTCTTCCAGGCTCGGTGAAAATGTTTTTATTTATTCGTGCTCACAACGTAATGTTTGCACTTTGCTCTTAGTCTCATCGATTACTTTGATTTCGGTCCGGTGTCTCTTCTCATTTTGGAACAACTGGGGGATTTATTCAAACTCGGAGAACCCCTCCCAGATGGTGCAAAGTATGTGCCAAAGATATCTTTCCACTCTGATTTTGACTATCAATGTAAGGTCTGACATGGAAGATGCTTGCTCGGATCTAGCACAGTTACGCATCCTGCATTGTGATCTGCGTTGGGCAAACATGCTTTCTGTTTTGCCTGGTGGCCTCCCAAGTCTGGCATCACCATTCACTGGGAAGATCTACGGCTGGAGGCTTGTAGACTTCGATCGCGCTGAACGGACTACTCAAGCATTACCTGCCACTCAAAGGTATTATAATAGTTACCTGAAGCGGGTGCTAAAAAGTATTCCATGGGGTGACCCTATTGAGCCATGGGACTGAGTGCTTGGTGATCTTCTGCCTTTCACCTGACAATTGTGTCTAAATTGGCATGTCCCTTGTGTCCTCAAATTGTGCTTGTTACTATAAGATGAACTTGTTTTCACCTATCTAAATTGGGAACAGAATCTTGGATATGCTCTGTTGCTCCGATGACACGCTCATTTCCATGACAAGTCCTTATTTTCCCGAGGTGTATCTTTCCTTTCCTGCAGTTCCCTTCCTGTTGATTCAGTGATCAATCAAACAATTGGTGCTGACCTGCTCTAGGATCACACCTGGGACCCACAATTTGCTTCAGTGTACGTTTTCTGATTTTTGCCACCATTATAAGATAAGTCCTTTTTCTTACCCCATTTTTTTTCTTGACTCCATTCGTGACTTTCCTTAGATGCAATTGATGATCAACTATTGATCCAGCAGTGTTCAAATGGCACCACCTGGAATCCGCCTATGGACCCACCTACGTAGAGTCGGGGATCCATTGTTTTTTGATTGCATGGATGTGTCAGATAGATAGATTGATACATGATGTGCCCATAAGATAGGAAAAGATAAGTCCTGATACATAAATTCTCATCCCCGTCGATCTCCTGAGCAAACTAATTTTCCTTATGTAAATATCAATGGTCAAAAAAGTCTGCACTATTCTGCACTATCTGAATAATGAAATACGCTACGGACCCACATAGAGATGGATGTTGACCCTTGTTCTAGCCATACACTTGCCGCTATTTTCCCAATGTTCTAGCCGTACACTTGCCGCCATTTTCCCAATTTTGGCACGACATATTGTTAGCCCATCAATGCTATTTCTGCCGTCATCCTTGTATCTGGCAAAATACATTCCGAAGAAGAGTGGAGTAGGCCCAACACTCCTTTTGTCCTGTACCACCAAGCTCCTCCTCCCGCCTTGGTTAATCAGCCTTTTGAACATCTGCAAAACCTGTATTTTCGGCTAAGGGTCCGAAAGCGGTCGAGAGCACTTCCCAGCAGTGAAAGCACCCAGAGCATGTTGCTTTCGGTGCTTTCAGCACTGGGATCTGCTGGGATCTGCTCTCAGCCCTTAGCCGAATATCCAGGTTTTGCAGATGAAGTACTGCCAACCTGCGGGCCTGACTCCTTCGGGAAGCTTGTATTACTATCAGAAGGTTGTACATGGATGATCTTTCAATGTGAATGCACCATTCCTCATGGCAATGAAATGTTATAAGATCCTACATGTGGTGATTAACATCGCAAGGCAGTTCTGTACAAGACATATCGAGAGAGGCAACAGCTTATAAATCCATGACAAGTATACAAGGCTCTATGGTTCGACGATGTTATGGCTTCTTTCAAGCTCAGTGCATATATTTCATTCAGTTTATTTGCATGTGTAACGGAATGTGGAAGGACTCGAAACGGAAGTGATACTGGCTCTTCATGAGCTACTGGTAAACTCAGAGCACCCAATGGAGTTTGAATGTAATCCACTAAACTTAAAGTTGGACAATCTTTATATCAACATAGGGGACATCACTCTCAATTTAGGTAAGCATGGAAGGTTTGTTTATCCAAGTCATCAAATGCCTGCATCTATTGATCTTACTCATGGGGATCGAAATTATGGGTTCTGGTCATTTCAAGCACAAATGGTTCAATGCTGCATGAGTGATCACCTGTGATCACAGACCGTATTATCAACCATGAAGTTACGGCGATATTGGAAAGGCTGGCATGGGAGTGGCAAAGACAGAACCTGACAAAACAGCAGGACACACAGTGGAGAAGATCACCATTTTGGAGATCAGAGTGGCATTCAGATCAGGAACGGCAACCTTTAAATTGGATAGTGACCATAAAACATCTGCAAAACCTGGATATTCGGCTAAGCATTGAGAGCAGATCCCAGCAGATCCCAGTGCTGAAAGCACTGAAAGCAGTACGCTTTGAGTGCTTTCACTGCTGGGAAGTGCTCTCAATTGCTTTTGGACCCTTAGCCGAAAATACAGGTTTTGCAGATGAACATATCATATGGAACAAGGAGTATTTAAGTATATGTGAAACATATCTATCTTCAAGTCATTATCAGTTGACATTGTGGCAGTCTGTGATAAAAGCTATATTGGCTTAATCCAATGACTACACCCACAGTCTGTCCACAGTGCACTACCCAATACACATGACATTCCACCTGTTCTCAGTGGCTTTCAAAATTTGAATAGCAAGCCTTCTGGGCATGGCAAAACACTGGAGGCATGTAACCTTTTTTTTGTCATTTTGTCCCACCTGTGATGATATTGATTCTGTTTCACATCACACAAAACCTCAGTCCTGACACACTGTCTGCATATGTAACTATAGGAGTTTTCGATTGTTCTCGGACCATGCTGCATCATAAATTCCATTGTGTTTCTGATATCTACTATCAATCTAGATGGTTCTTTCCAATTAAGTATTGCATATCACATAGAATGGACCTACAAGTGATGCTCCGGGAAAAAACTGATGCTCAGTCAGAGCTTTTGGTTATTTTTGTTCAATCCATGGGAATAACCTTTAGCAAAAAATCTGTCATAGACAAAGATTGGCAGCTCTGTTGAAGATGGGTTCACATATGCTTCTTCCAATTCTGATTGATATTAATACCTGATATCTTGTTCTATCAAAGAACTCTCTCGTTTATTACATACAATGGACCTACAACTAGTAAAACTAATGCAACATGGAGGCACCGACTGCAATGCCGCCATTCCATTATAACATTACTGAAGATGAGCATTTATTTTCAAGAAGTAAATTGATACTAATTTTGGTCACAGTAACTTGGATAGTTTAAATACTCTTAGACATTGTCTGCTCAATATTCATCTTGAATATGAATCACCCACCCCCAGTACAAGATCCTCCTCCTCCTACATTGAACCAATCACCTTATGCAGCTCTTTATACACCAGACCGATTTTATCAAACAGTCAATCCGTTACATATGCAACCCCTAGGATTGGCGGCCAGATGGTCATCTTTTAGGACAACCATTGCCTAATCACAGGTTTCCTTTGCCTGAAATAGTTGGAGGAAACTCGAACATGACTCGCCTGAACCATGTCGGATGCATTCCACTGACCCTTGCACGGGGTATCAATGCAGGATCAAGAAATCGCACACAGGTTGCCACAGTTGTTCAGGAAATGACTATTGGTCATAATCAGTTCCCGAGGTTGCGCATAGTCAGACGTTCTAATGACCTATGGTTTAACCTCAGGAACTATGCTTGTATGGACTCTGGACATGGGTGGCGGACCACAGGGGGTGGAAATCATGCTATACATAGTGTGCTACCTCTTCCTGATTCACCACAGCAAGTCAATGCTATTCAGAGTCTTTGGGCTTGGCACCAGGCAAGGTGTGCAAGCCCAAATACATGTCCAGTAGAAAATGAGCAGGAAGTGCAAGATGAGGTTCAAAAACAACTGCTGATGCCATTACAACTACTACTTCAAGTGAATTTGTTCAGAAGATGGATTGAATGGGTATTACTAACAGGAGATATACAGACAAGATACCCAATGGACCTATGCCTCTATATCCGGCAAAACCTTCCTATATTTTGGGACCGACTGAAACACAGCCAGTTGACAAACCCTGAGGTTTTCCGTGGAGTAGATCATGATACCTCTGGTAATTATCCCAGATGGGGTAGGCCAACAATTGAGACTAATTTAGGTCGAACAATTTACAAGCAAAAGAGTGCAGGATATTCTGATCATATTCTTTACCTTGGGGCCAACAAACAATGTGTTGCAGCTGTTGTTGAGGTAAAGACCTTTTGGGCATATGATAGTTCTGATATGTTTCACATATCAGAACTTGATAATAGTCAACATTATCATCCTTTGAGTATTTTTGAGTTTGGGCACCCACATTACTCAAATATATTTGAGTGGAATGGTGATAATGTTTCAACAGATGCAATCAAGCAGGCACGTAAAATGCTAATTCAACATCAACAAATGCTAATATTCCAACTTGATCCATGCTACAGGTTTGGGGTGAGATGGTGTTCTATGGTAGCAAATTTGCAACTTGGACCAACGGCAAACATATCATTATCTTTGCCCGAACAGGACATGCAGATTTGACAATAACCACTCATCATCAAAACAACTGCCATCAATGGGAGGACCCAGATGTCCTTGCAACATTGTTTGGAATGTGTTGCGCTGGTATTGATATGAAGCTGTTGGGAGACAATGGTTTAATGAACCATCTTGTTGGAAATACTTACTGATCCATTTGGGAAACCACTTATAATTTCAAATCAATTACTACTGCAGGCTGCTAGCAAGTAACAAAGTTGCTGAATGTGCATTTGAGTGAGCTTTTGTACCAGCCCAACATTGAGAAATAGTGAGTGCATTTAAGCTTGATGACATGATAATGATAAAAACTTCGAAAATCATGATTTTAGAAACATTTGCCTGGGTCTTGTCATGCCCTGGCTACAACCAGACCCGCCCCAGTACCAGCCATCACCTCCTATTGACCCCTACACCTTCCTCCAAAGTACCACCATACACCTCCCAAGTACCACCATACACCTCCCCGATCCCCAAATACCACCACGCACCTCCCCAACTATCACCATTCCCCTGACATACCTACCCAAACGTCCCGACTTTCACCCCGATATGCATACAACACCCTCCTAATAGCCAACCCCTTTAAGTACTAAATCTCGATTACCTTCCTCCCTAGATTAGCTGCCTCATGTTCCAGATATTCTCTTGTTCACTTCCCGTACCTACTTAAGTAGTGCCGCAACATCCAGAAGCCCCAGCTTGGTATATTTTGAACACACACCCTTTTGTATAGGTCCAGTCCCTGTCCCTTTGTACCTGCTAACCATACGGATTTCTCTTACTCTCTGTTTCTCTATCTCTGTTTCTCTTTACTCTCGTCTACTGTCTCTCCGATCGTCTATACAATCGAATATACGCTTTTACTTCAAGTCTAAGCCATCTGAGTGAGTCTCCAAGCTCCCTCGAACAATACTAAAGCTCCCCAACGCCTAAACGCTTCGGTGAGCTACCCATCCCCAAACCTCCCCGAGCTCCCTAGCTACTTTGTAAGCTTCGGGACCTTGATCTAAGTAACATCGAACTACGTATAGCTTCTCTGTTACCAGCTCCAATCACTCGAGGACGTCCATCCTCAAGCCCAGCCCCCGGGGACCTACCCTCCCGGGCATATACCTTCTCGGGAGCTTACACCCTCGAGACCCATTTACATCCACGACCTACTTGATCCTATATTGACGTTCTAGCGAGTACAACTCCTACTATGCAATATCATACGGTCCCGCACTCTTCCCTAACCTCCCTCCACCTTAGGGACCTCCCTGGACCTCCTAGAAACCCCCTCAAGGGTCACCATCTCGTCGTTCCAGCCACTACTAGGTCATTCCCGTCCTCAGCCGTGGTTCCCGTAGCTCCCTTCGAGCTCCAGCCTGCTCCTAGCACGCTACAACATAAACTCTCTTATACCAATCCCTACCATAAGACCCATTCCGACCCAGGTCTTACAGGTCTATCCTTCAAAGCTTCAGGTGGGAAGAAAGGTATGGAACAAAGCTGTAACAAATATCACATACTGTTATCTTGTCTCTTGCCTTATCTACCATGCCTCCGAGGTTGTGGACCTTTTTGAGCAAGTTCTGCATTTTTTTTTCATGAGAATTCATCATGTCAGTTGAGTCAAATACTTTATGGTGTAGGCCAGTATCTGCTAGGTGAATTCTTTGCTTGTCACACTTTTTGCAACATTTGATTAAGCTTTGCCAGATTTCACTTGCCTGTTTTGTCTTGTCTACCTCCAGTCTTATCAGGTCAATGATTTTGCATACTATTGCACCTGCTACCAACCTATCCTGTGTGTCCCATTCTTATGGGCATGGTGTCACTGTTGTCAGATAGATGGTGCTTGGGTAGTTCTCTGCTCTCAGCATTGGTTTTAGGATTGTCCTATCCATGTACTCTGTCAGTCCTCCCGACTGCATTGCAAATGATATCAAATGTTATTTTGCACTTGAATGGCCTCAAGCTGTCCTCACAAACAAGCTGTTTCTTGTCCAGGAGTCTTGGTATATTCAAAATACTTCCAGTTGACATTTTGGTTGAGGCTTTTTGACTTGAGTTTTCTTTCCTTATTCCAATTACAGAACAAGTCTCATAATCTGTAAGTGTGAGTCAAACTCAGTTGGAAATAAAGCAAGAGCTCAAATGCATTGTGCTGTGTGATCTGGTTGTAACCATACAGTTTATAGTCATAGCGTAGATGGTACATATGTAGTTGGAATGGCAGAATGGCAAGGTGTCAAAGTGGTTATCTAAGTCCCAGTATGTATGTACAGAGTGTTCCCTAACCATAGGTCCATTCTATGTAATAGATCAACTTGTTTGGTAGAGCAAGATATCAGATAATTAGAATCGGAAGAAGCATTCTGACATAAGGTGTTGCTCCTGTTGAGGTATACTCCATATGAGTACATATAACAGGTAAATGGTGTTATTACTTGATACTGTACAGTATGTATATAGATCACATGGCATGTCAACTAAGGTAAGCCCCAGCAAAGTAGAACTTCAATAAATACTTTTTGAAGAGTTTACTATTGATTCCATTTTAACAAACCGTTGAGTCCTGGTCAATATTATGAATTGTATGCAATGCCAACTCTAGAAGCATTGCACTTTTACCTACTGTACTCTTACCATCTTATACTTTTGATGAGCAGCATTTTGCCTAGTCTCAGTAATGGGAGAACAGTAATTGTTTACATATGTTGAAGTAATCCTTCCAACCTTTCAATTATCTATTAATGACAACAAATGCTTGATCCTCAGCTATTATACATAATGGGCAATGACTACAGGCTTTGACAGCACTGTGTGATATTGAGAGGTGAAAGAGGTCTCTTCATTGAGACTGTTGGATCAAACAATAGACCAGAAAATTTTACTTTACCCACAATGGCACTACATTACTGTTATTCAATCTCTTGTTGGAAATTTCAATGGTATCTGAGGGTAGCATGACATTGATTGGCTCATATAATGCTGAAGACTATACCAACCTTTTAATATGGTGGGAGCATGTCTTGATTTCTCCACTCTACAACACTGTTAAGAAGTAAGTTTGTAGTTCTTTGCAATTGTATTGAACTAGATCACTAGTTTAATGGCTTCTTAATGGGTCTCTATGATCAACTTTGCAAATCAAATCAACATCTCTGGCAAGTGTACAAACTATAGAGATAAGTGTAGTAACAATGCAGGAACAATTTAAGTAAGGATAGCAACACATGCAGCTGCACTATGTAAGACCTGGGTCAGAATTGGTCTTAGGGATGGAATTTGGTATTCGGGGTTTATGTTGTAGCATGCTAGGAGCAAGCTGGAGCTCAAAGGGAGCTACGGGAACCACGACCGAGGACAGGAATGACCTAGTAGTAGTACGGAAGGCGAGATGTGACCCTTGAGGAGGTGCCTAGAAGGTCCAGTGAGGTCCCTAGGATGATAACTGGCGTAAGTTGATGAACCCGGAAGCTAGGAGATGTATGAAGGTTGCATAAGGCAGATTGTAGTAGCTAGGAATGTTCACATAGGATCATTACAGCTAACAGATGATGTGAGCTCCCAATGGAATGCGAGCCCGGGAAGGTGGTCCCGAGATGAGAGAGGTAATGGTTGGCATTCCCAAGTGGTGGAGGTGGTAACAGAGAAGTGATACACAGGTGAGAGTGGCAGGGAGCTTCAACGTTACCTAGAATTAAGGTCCCAGGACTTGTGGAGCAAGTAGGGAGCTTAAGGAGTCATGGGGGAGGTTGGCTCACTAAAACGATAGACATTTGGGGAGCTTGAGAATTAGTTGAGGGAGGTTGAGGACTCACTCGGATTGCTTAGACGTGAAGTAAAAGTGTTTATTGGACCGCGTAGGCAATTGTAGATATGAGAGATAGAAGTAGAGAAACTGAGATAAAGAAACAGAGAGTAAAGGAAGTTCCATATAGGTAGCAGGTACAAAGGGACAGGGACTGGACCTATATAAAGGGTGTGTGTTCAAAATATACCAAGCTGGGCTTTGGAATGCTACAGGACTGCTTAAATAGGTACAGGGAAGTTAACAAAGGAACATTGTATGAAATGGGCACTTAATGGGGTTGGTCTAAGTACATGTGGGCAGAATGATGGGAGCATGTATAGGGTCCCAGGGCTGTCGGGGGAGTGTTGGAGTACTGGGTTAGTGAATTGTTTGGTTGTTTGGGGGGTTCTAAAGGGGGAGCCTATTGTTGGGGAGGTTGTTTAGCATTGTGGAGGTCCAAAGAGGGAGGTTAGGGAGGTTGTGGGCTATGTGGTTCAGAGGCAAGGCATGACACACTATATATATGTATACATTTACAATGCAGAAGCATGCAGCTACAATGTATACATGCAAACATGTGCTGAGCAATGGTGAATGGATGAGCCTCCAAGAATATTATCAAGTACATTTAGCATATAATAGTATGCCATTTTCATGCAGGTGTTATAGACATGAAAGTCATTCCATGGCGGGGGTATTACATGTATATTGATCAGGGGACCCAGTTTCTTACTTATGTATGTGACTAAGGACTACTATCTGAACTTGACACACAGGAAGAGAGCATTGAACAATTGAATAAAAAGTAAGCTTGGAACAAAACAATCAGACAGGCAACTGAGATGCATTTAAATGTAGACAGAACTGCAGTGCAGTGTGGCAGTTACTTTGCAGAAACTGTTACTGCAAAAGTTCTGTGCCTCATCTGCTTGTAACTTGTGCAGATCTGCACCTGACTTGCATGGATCTGCATGTAGTTAACTTGCATGGATCTGGCACCCAGCTTTTACTAACAATCAGAGCAATGAGAGAGACAATCTCCCTCATACTATTAATGTGATTGTTGCTATTCCGGTACATAGCAGTATTAGCAATGACTATATAGAATATCTCACAAATACCAATCACTCACATCTGAAGATTATGAAACAGATAAGCTTCAGAATATCTGCTCAATCATATTTTTGCTTTCAATTGTTGAATCATTGTTAGTAAGTCACCAGAATAGATAGTGTAGTTAGGCATCCAATGATACTGAACAAACTTAAGTATTAGATAAAATTTCAGGATAAAAAAATCAAATTGGACCTATGGAGCTTCATTGTACAATATCATTGTGTGGAGCTCAAATTGAGAAGCAATATGACTATGTAGGAGGATTTTGTACACAATATTGTATATTTACAGATTGCACAGAACTGCATGGGACTGGTGCCACAGGGGTTACAGCAAAAGTTCTGTGCCCCAGTTGTTCTACTACCAACTAAGAGTAACTTACATTGACAGCTACACATGTGAAACTGTCTTTGACACTTGCCAATCTTTATCTATGATGGATTTTTTGTTCAAAATTGTTCTCATGAATTGAACAAAAATATCCAAAAGCTCCCCCTGAGCACCAGTTTTTTCTCCTGAAGCTGCACTGGTCTATTCTATGTATGTGATATATAATACTTAATTGAAAAGAATCATCTAGATTGATATGTAGATAGATATATAGTAATTATAAACACAATGAAATTTACACTGCTGCACAGAATTTTAAGCAATTTTCAAGAATCAAGTTTTCAAAATCTATAAGAGTGCAAATCTTGAGAAGATTGCCGAAAATTATGTACTGTCCTTGATTCTTGAGAAATTATTGAGAGATGCCATGACAAAACCCGAAACTCTCAAGAATATTGACTAGCCACTCTCATGAAATGTCCCAAGTCGCTTTTCTTGTCAGTTGGTGGTGATTACAAAACCTTGTGCTGGCAGTTTTGTGCTTGTCTTCCATCCTTCCCAACTCCCACCAGCTTGACTTTGAGCAAACATGCACACTTTCAGTCCTCAATGTCTCTCAAGCTCTTGATGACAACATGTTGCAACAGGCATCACACACACAACTGGTGCTAACATTGTCAATGCCAATATTTTCTGATTCTTCAACCCATGTGACTTGGATGCAATGATGTCAAATTTAAAGCTGCCTCAACCTTTGCCCCCCAAGCCTCAAGCTTCAAGAGTCAATATTCAACTAAATTCATGAGTCAAGATCTTGCCCATTAAGGTTTGTAATAATTTGACTCTACTCCTAATAATAGTATGCATAAGTACACATGGCATGTAGTACTGTAGGTACATTTTATGAGTGAAATTTTTTGAAAATAAAAGTGGTCTGATAATTCTGATTGTCGAACCTTCAGATAAGGCTCCTTACAAAAAGGTTTTGTTCAATTTTGTTGGGGGTAAGTTGGCCTTGTCCCACTTCCCACGGATCCATATATAGATAATTGCCACCATATATATTGATGTGGGATCTGCCGGATGATCCATGCTTAGCATCACATGTCTATAGCACACACTCCTAGTTGCCCATTCCAGCTACCTTCAAATCATGATCTTCAGATTTAGGAAATATTTCAAAAAATTTACTGATTTCTGAGTCTTGCACAAAACAGAGCAAATCAGACAGCCTGAGGTTGTGGATGGACTATCTAGCTCATTTTCTTGCAAATAGACTTAGCATAATGGTTAAACTTATAGCTATTCCCTTCAATCCCAATGCTTACTGTAAGGTTTAGCTTTCAAATACTCTGCTGAAGCCTGATTTCTCAATTCTTAGGAGGTGCACTATTTTATTTAAATGTTGAACATCTCAGATGTTGGCCACCACTTTCATAAAATGTTCGGCACCTGCCGCTTGCGGCCTTTCCCCCAGTCATATCATCATTATATCAGGTTCCGGGATTTTGTGACGTGCGCGCGGTATAGTCAAAAACTAGAAGATATTCTTAAGTCTCTTCGGGATCCTTGAGAATTGTTACTTTTGAGAATTTCTACACGTTTGGGCACTCCTCTATCTCAGGAATTTCTTAAGAGCTTATCCAAAATTCTTCAGAGGGTGCATCCATAAGAAAATCATTGAATTCTATCCAGCAGTGTATGATGCAGCATAGTAAAACAATCAAAAGTTACACATGGCCCCGAGTTCAACAGAGCTGTGTATCTATCAAGGGCGAATTTTTGACCCACACTCATTCCCATGGTTGAACAGCGATACCCATGGGAATGCACCTTAGCACACGACGCAGATGATTGTAGTAGTATGAGTGAGCACGAGGAAAATCTCGAGCAGTCCTTGTAGCCAGATCAAAGTCCACAAGCCTCCAACCGTAAACCTTGCCTGTGAATGGAGACGGTACACCTGGAAGACCACCTTCATTGGGGACTAGTACAGACAAAATATTTTCCCAACGCAAATCGCCATGATGGATGCGGAGATGAGCCAAGTCTGAGCAAGCATCAGTCAGGTCAGACCTGATGATAAAATGGTCAAAAATATTTGAAGTCAAATATACTCCGAACACGTACTCCGCACCATTTGGGAGTGGTTCTCCAAGTTCCAATAAACCCCCAAGTTTCTCAATAATTAGGATAAACATTGGACCAAAATCAAAATAATCAAACAACCTATTACGGCACAGTATTAACGCTAATATGAGACACAAAAGAAAACACAAACCGTGCTTGGAAGAAACCATAACAGCGTGGAATAGCAGAGCCTTGCAGGCATGTCATACTCTCATATGCTGTTGCCTCTCTTGATATATCTTTTGTATGAAACTGTCTTGCAATCTTAATCACCACTGGTGGGATCTTGTATCCCATTTTGTTCCCATGAGGAATGGTACATTCACACTCAAAAATCATTCCAGTTCGGCCTTCAGACAAGAGTTTTCCCAGAGAGACATGAAGAGTTAAGCCTGCAGGTGGCGGAAGTTCAAAAGGAGGATCGGGGTATGGAGGACAAAAGTCGGAAAAGTTCAAGTGTTTTTCCCTCGTATACCGGTCATCAAGGATGCTCGCGGGAGGAGGGGCTTGGCGGTATAGTGCAACGGGAACTTTAGGCCCAATCCATTCTTCTTCTTCGGGTTCAACTTTGCCAGATACGAGGATGACAGCGGAAAGAGCGTTAATGGGCTAATGACATGATCTGTGAGAGGGCTGGTATCTCATCACCGAGAACATACCAGATACTCTGTCATGACTGAGGTTTGTGCGATGCGAAACTGGTTCGATATCGTTACAGGTGGTGGTTACAAGGTAAGGACAAGATGATGAAAAAGGTTACGTGACCCACCCAGAAGGTTCGCTATTCAAATTATTTCAAAAGCCGCTGAGAACAGGTCATGTGTCGGGTATGTGCACTGTGGGCGGACTGTTGGTGTAGTTATTGAATTATTTATACTATCATGTAACTGCCACGATGTCAATTGGACAAGATAACTCCGAATGAAATAGTGGATGACTTCCCGTAAGGATTATTGGACAGTAATTATTTCTAACAGTTTCTAAACGTCCTAAGCAAATTAGTCCGATCAACGGATTTTGGGCAGAACTCGAGCAGAACCGTCTAGGGAGGGGTCCGGACCCCTCCCTAGACGGTTCTGCACTCGCTTACTGGGATAAGCGAACAGCGCATCAACTGTCCGTCACTCGCATCAGACCGGCTCAAAAATTATTTACTCAGATTATTGGGCAAAGGCTTACGGGAAGTCATCCAGTAGTAGACACTGCTCACGAATCAAATTTGCATGTTGCGTACACTCAGATATCCGTGTTCCACATGATATGTTTGATGATGGTCGCTATCCAATTTGAAGGTGGGCGACATCTAAGCTGCCGCTTGTGATCTTAATCCCACTCTGATCTCCTCCGCTGTGGGTCCTGCTGCTCTGTCTTTGCCACTCCCGTACCAGCCTTTCCAATATCGCCGTGATCTCATGGTCGACAATACGGTCCGTGATCACTCGGGCAGCGTTGAACCACTCCTGCCTGAAATGATCAGAACTTTGCGCAAACTTGAGTTGGGCTTTGATACGATCTAGAATCTTGCGGCGGGAGGCAGAAAGGGACTCGTATGTCAGTTTTTGTTCTTGTAACTGCGAGAGAATTCAATCCGTGAAACGTGCGGAGCTTGCACTCGACGGACCTTAGAAATCAATTTCTTCATGTATTCAGTCTCTTCTTGGAGGTTTTTGACTCGCTTCCGCTTATCGAGTAAAAGCGCGATGCAATTGGGGATCTCAAGACGTCGATCAGGTTCAGTTTCCTTTGTTTCAGCTTCTTCTTGATGTAAATTCGACCCGACACTAGGGTTTGTGCTCGTATCGGCAACCATAGGATACGAGAAGTGGCCATTGAAGTGCGTCATGGTTCCTACAGTCTTGGAGAATTTGGGCGTAGACGGAGGGACATGCGATGGAAACGATAGATGAAGAGTGTTAACGTTCGACTCGCCATCAACAGAGTCCGAGACACTCGTATCTGGAAGGCCCCCATCCCAATTCACAAAGCTATCCATTACTGTGTCATCGACCCCGTAGTTGTGATCTGCCCGAGTAAGATTAATGGACGCAGGGCCTTCGACGACTTGGGTAAATGGACCTTCCATGCTTATGCCTAAATCGAGAGCGATGCGCTGCATATTGATATAAAGATTGTCCAACTTCAAGTTCAGTGGGTTACGTTCGGACTCCATTGGGGGCTCTAAGCTTGCCAGTAGCTCACGAAGAGCCGGTATCACCTCCGTTTCGAGTACTTCCACATTCCGTTGCACTTGCGACACTCTCTTCTCAATATCTTCCGCATTGCAGATTTCGAGGAGCTTCAAGTGTTCTTTGGTAGCTTCTTCAGCCTTCTTCCTCCGAAGGTCAAGTGAATTGAGCTCGGAGCGCAGCTTCTCCTGCTTGAAGCTATGAAGAGAGCTAGATCCGAGGTGATCGATGTAACGGTTGAGGACTTGGGACTGGAGGGAGACCTCTTGCTCAGTTTTATCTTGATTATACAAAGCGACAGAAGCGTTGAGAATTAATCTCAAGAGCTGTAGTAAGCCATACCGCTTTCTACTGTGAGGATTACGCATACCTTGCAGGGGATGTAGTTTCTTCTATGGATATTGAAGTGGTCGTCGAAGCGCCGGTTTCGATAGGCCTAGAGTTCAATGGTATAGAGACCATTTCTTACTTGCTCCCTGTTCGGCCAACGAGTACATGAAGCGATGCAATCAGTCTCCGCTTTTCAACATGGTACTCACTAAGGAGAGATGGTTCTTGGGGAAAATTAAGCGTGCGAAAGCCGCAGGCAGTAAGTCGATAAAGGTCGATAAGCGCCTGAAAAGCCTCTCTTCTTCAACTGGCTCTTCTTCAACTGGCTCTTCTTCAACCACTATCATTAACTTGAGAAGTCTTCAAAGTCTGAGTGCAGGCATCAACGCAATATCCAGATGGATAAACTTGACAATCACAAGCAATGGATACTCTGAGGTTAACTACTAATGTAAGACTTGAGTGTTGTACAACCCTTTGAATATGTAAATAATGCCGCATTTGAATCATCTACAGGCTCAACTGGTACGGAACGTCGGAAGCTTTCAATGCTGGGGAGACAGTTATAGTCTCGTACTCGATACCCATTGCTGGATTGCCCTTTACCTCCCTCGTCAGTATTGTCGTACTACATTCTAAAAAACTAATTTGTACTCACCCCGTATGAGGAGTAATCCTCGATGACTATTACTTGGTAGTTGCCACCAGGCGGAGAGGATGCCACAAATTGCGGTGTCAACTGGGCGTGATAAGTGGGTCCCTCTGCTCCTTCACCTTGCGCAGTGGATGCAAGGTTTTTTGCCAAAACGACACCTTCCAGGTTTTCTCCAAGAAGAACGGTGACAGATCGGCTCGACTCTTTGAAGTATCGGCTAGAAACCCAGGTGAAGTTGAATGTCTGGCAAACGCCATGGACGACGGTAAGCGTTTTCACTGAAACCGTTCAGATTGGACTACTTACCCCACTCGAGGATATGGTAGAACCATTGGTAGGGGAAACAAATGTTCCCGCAGAGACGCATGCTACTGTCGCAGCAAAGACAGCGAGAAGCTTCATTGTCAGTTGTGGATAGTAGGAACTGGCGTTGGCTGGTCAGCAGTCTTTATATACTGGGAATCTTTGGTATTTCCGGCATATCCTCGTCTTCTTTCACTTAACCTTCTTCACTGTATATCGTTTGCACTCGAACCCGAGTCAACGTCTCTCGATGAGGTCTTGACAAAGGCCGCAGTTCATGGACCCGAAATTAATCTTCATGCTTACTGCCAGTGGAGAGTAAAAGAACACGAATATACGACACATAAGATTGTTGGAAGGCAGAGAAGCCTACAAAGCCTACATCATAGGTAAACCTGTGGATACTTTTTCAAGTGCAACATCGTATACGAGGATCCAGATTTTACGCTGAGGTACTGAGACAACCTACCTCAGCGGTGGAAAACCTCTGCCAGATCAGAGGGGGTATTCTGTAATTTAGATTGTGTAAGGGAATTTTTCCGAGAATTGCCTGATTGATATCTACTGTACCGGTTCAAACTTCATGCACAAATTCTTAGCTCCGTCAAATTATGAAAACGAGAGAAAGCCTTTGAACCGAACATCAATACGTCCCCGCCTTCGCACTTCGAATTGTTTGATTAATCAATGACACATTTCTACGTCGCATTCAACTGTCATCAATCCACATACAAGTATACTACTTACACACGAGAATTGTGGCAAATCATCATTCCCATCGCTGAACAGCCTGGGTGCTCATTGGAACACATCCTAGCAATCGATCCGATAATTGAGGATAATTTACTATCCCTGAGCACGAGACAATTGGTGAGCAGTCCTCTTAGCCGGATTAAAATCTACAAGCCTCCAGTCATAAATCTTGCCAGTGAATGGAGAAGGTAAATCTAGCTTCACTAGGGTCCAGTACAAACAGAATATTTCCCCAACACAAATCGCCGGTACAGGACGACAGGAACTTCAGGCCCATTCCTCCTCGTCTTCGGATTCGACTCTGCCGGATACGAGGATGACGGTGGACCACTTTGATTGGCTAAAATTTCACCGCGTGAAGAGACGGGTGTTTCTTCGTGGGGGCATCTAGGATACTACGTACCAAGTAATCTGTCGTAAGAACTTTTTGGCGACAAGAATAATATTGGAAACAATGTGATCGTGGCCGTGGTTATGGTCCCTATTACTATATTCGCGTTCGAAATAACAGTATTCAACTTACTGATCATTCAATGCTACATAGACTGTATAGAGCCTATGATCATCACTTGATGCATGCTTTCGTCGAGACCTTGGTTCTATGAGCGAGAAGATGTCAAGGAGGAGTCTCCTCTCGGCCCACCATCCTCAGACTCACTCTGTCACCGAGACCCATGATTTGGCCTACCTGAGAAAGTAAGCACATTATCATTATCCTCATACAACATCCGTTATTATCTCTTGACTGTAGATGCATTTTCCAGAACAACACCTCGAAGGTTCTAATCAACATTGACAATCAATCCCTCATAATCTGGAATGGGGATATAATCGAGACACTGGATCCAAATGTTTTTGAAATATACTTATTCTTCTGAAAAGAGTATGCTTCCTAAGGTAGTTAGTTGTGTAATAGAAGACAGCTCTGAAAAGATAGTCACCAATTGTTCAATCCCATGGCTCAACAGGATCACCCCATGGAATACTTTCTAATACTCGGTTCAAGTATTCATCATATGACCTTTGAATACAAGGTAAGTTTTGAGTAGTCCTCTCAGCACGATCAAAATCTATAAGCCTCCAGCCATAGGTCTTTCCAGTAAACGGTGATGGCAGACTTGGAAGACCACCTTCCAGAACAGAAAGCATGTTTGCCCAGCGCAAATCACCATGGATGATGCGTAAGTTCGTTAAATCTGAGCAGGCATCTTTCATGTCGGTCCTTCAGTTGATGGTCAGGATCATCAAGAAAGCATACGTTGAACACATACATTGCACCATTTGGAAGTGGCTCTCCGAGTTCGAATAGATCCCCTAGTTTTTCCAAAACAAGAAGGGAGACTGGGCCGAAATCAAAGTAATCAAACATACTAAGAGAAAAGCGCGAGAATTACATTGTGAGCATCAACTAGGAAAAAAAAAATATGAACCGAGCTTGAAAGAAACCATAACATCGTGGAACCACAGAGCCTTGTATGCATGTCATGCATTCATACGCTGCCGCCTCTTTCGTTATATCTTTGGTACGAAATTGCTTTGCAATCTTAATCACCATGGGTGGGATCTTATAGCCCATTTCATTCCCATGTGGAATGGCGCATTCGCACTCATAGATCATTCCCGTACGACCTTCGGATATGAGCTTTCCAAGGGAGATATGAAGCGTTAGGCCTGCAGGTGATGGAATATCGGACAACGGACTGGGGCAAGGCGGATAAGAGTCGGTATAATCTGGATCGCCTTCTCTTGTGTATGCATCGTCAAGAATGTTTGCAGGAGGAGGATCTTGGCGGTAGAGGACGACTGGAATTTTGGGGCCAGTCCATTGTTCTTTGGAATCAATTTTTCCAGATACGAGAATTACGGCGGATATTGCGTTGATAGGCTGATGATATGTTATGCAAGAGAGTTTGAAAAATTGCGAAAAGGCCTACCAGATAGTTCTCCATAACTTTTGAACACATGATTATGTGATCAGCATGCTTCCACCACCACCACACGATACCGACGCGCCTATTCGACTCACTGATAACGATGCCGCCCTTGCGAAACTCTCTGCTGTACGCCAGAATTACTTATCTGATCAATTCATCAAGCACTTTGTTCCAAGAGCAAGTTTTCAGCCTTCTCGCCCACCGCTAATCAATGTGGGGACTTTTGTACGTACCAAGGCCATCGACGATCTGGTCAACCAATGGATGGACCTGTCGTCAAGAGAAGGAAAGAAATGTCAGATCATAAGCTTGGGTGCAGGAAGCGATACACGGTTCTGGCAACTTGCGGTATGTTTCCTAGGTTCTTTTAGGTACATCTTTTACTAATATGAAGCATCGCAGTAGACCGGCACACGAAAGGATTGCCTTTCCAAGTATATAGAGGTTGATTTTCCTGAAATTACAATGAAGAAAGCCATGGCGATCAAGAAGAACAAAGATCTTAGTGTAGTCATCGGTGCTCCTGCAGATATACAACTCGGTCAGTAAGATGGGAATGTCTGGGTCCGAATACGCACTCATCCCGCAATAGGGCAAGGTGGCACTGCTATATCCAGCCCCATATATCATCTCCTGCCTGCAGACTTAAGAGGTGACCCATCGATTGCACTAGGCTCGCTGACTGCTGCGACGGAAAATGCGGCACGATTGCTCGATCCCTCGCTTCCGACACTCCTGATTTTTGAGTGTGTACTAGCATACATGTCACCTCAAGAATCAGACACGCTTCTCAAATGGTTTCATACATATTTCTCCTCCCGTGAAGATGGCATTCTGGGCGCGATCGTGTATGAGATGTTTGGCCTCGGTGATTCCTTTGGACGTGTCATGCTATCCAATTTGAAGGTGGTGCTCATTCTAATATCTTCTCTGCTTGTGCACTGATGATTCTATCTCAGACGCGCAACGTGTCTCTTCCAGGTGCAGTCCCTTACCCGACTCTGGAAAGCCTCCCGTCTCGATTTCTCAACCTCGACTACACTTCCGCTCATGCTCTCACGCTGAAAGATATAAGGCGAACATTTATCGATCCTATAGAACTTGACCGGTAGAAGTTGCCTATCTCGTGTTCAGATTATAACTTAACTGTTGCCCTAGGATATCCAAGTTGGAAATGCTCGATGAAATTGAAGAGCTAGATCTTGTCTTGGAGCATTATGCCATTACTTGGGGTATGTCAACTGCTCACTTGGGCAATCGGAAAGCTCCTTGGGGGGAGTGGGGTCTAAAAAGAAGAGAGCAACACGAGGAAGACGAGTGACTAGGACGGCTACATACTTAACTTGAAGCCTGCAGTTATGTAGTGCCCAGTCAAATCTTGACCGAGTCATATATCCAGAAACATGTTGTGGTACATTGCTGCCTACAATACAAAGTAGCAGCCTCGCCAAGTGACTTCGCCACGCCGACCCGGACTGAAATTAAGTAACTTAGGAAGCAACGCAAACCAATGAGCAGAGCAACACAATAGAGCACTGAGGGGGGGTGTTGTCTATCAAAAAAACTATGCCATACATGCACGGGACAAAATATCTAATGCATCACCAGAGTTCAAAGAATATAATACTGGCTAAAATTTGTGAAATTGGACCAAGTTGGAACTACCTTAGAACCTTGTGTATTTCTCAATTAGTGGTGAAAACAACGCCTCCGATATCCGTTGATTAGAGTAGTTAATGAGTATTTCCAATAAGACTGACCATTGTCTCCTGATAACTTAACATCAATACCAGCACAGCACATTCCAAACAATAAGGACATCTGAATCACTTCATCAATGGCAGTGATTTGCCTGATGAGTGGTGAATGCCAAAACATCATGTCCTGTTCAAGCAAAGATGATAATATGTTTGCCATTGCATCTGCAAAACATGGATATTCGGCTAAGGGCTGAGAGCAGATCCCAGCAGATCCCAGTACCGAAAGCACTGAGAGCAGGCTGCTCTGAGTGCTTTCACTGCTGGGAAATGCTTTCAACTGCTTTCGGACCCTTAGCCGAATATCCAGGTTTTGCAGATGTGGTCCAAAATGCAAATCTGGTGCTAGTGAACACCATCTCCGCCCAAACCTGCAGTATGGAATATAACAACAAATATAAGCATATCTTCATCTGCAAAACCTGTATGTTTGCCAGAGCAAGGGTACTAGCTGGAGAGTGTTCTCCAGCACCAAAAGCACCAAAAGCAAGATTTTCAACTTGCTCTGGGTGCTTTGGCTGCTGGGAAGCGCCCTCAGTTGCTCCCAGATGATTAGCTGAAAATACATGTTTTGCAGATGTTGTATGGAACTTTGGAAACTAGCTTCCACCATACCTGTTAGATTGCATTTACTGTAACATTATGAGGTGATTTCGCAGTGCAACAGATACTCAGGAGATGAACTTGGCCTATATCAGGTTCCAATATGTGGTACATAAAATCAATTCTTTAGGTCCAGAAAGTTTTCACCCCAACAACAGCTGCGATACATTGTTTGTTGCCCCCAAAGTAGAGAAATCCTGCACTCTTCCCCTTGTGTATTGGCTGACCCAGATTGGTCTTGATGGTTGTCCTATCTCATCTGGGACAATCACCAGAAATATCATTTTCTAAATATTTTATTAGAAAATTTTCAATTCACTGTTGCTCAATTGGCCCCAAAATATAGGAAGGTTCTGCTCAATGTGAAGGCATAGGTTAAGCTTGTCTACATATTTCATGTGAGTACTTAGCTGGCTAAATCTCCAAATAAACTTACTCGAAGTGGTTGTAATGGAATCAACAGCTGTTTTTGAACCTCATCTTGCACTGCCAGCTCATTGTCGACCAGAATCAAATTTGGACCAGTACACCTTGCCTGGTGCCAAGCCCAAAAACCATGTTCCGAGTCCATATAAGTGTATGCCCGGAGGTTACCCCATAGGTGATGAGAATGTCTAATGGTCCTCAACCTTGGAAGCTGAGCATGATGATAAATTTGGTGAATAACTGAGGCAGTATGGGTACATCTCTTTGATCTGGCATAAATTCCCAGTGCAAATTCAAGTGGGATGCAAGAGACATGGGTCAGACAAATTAAGTCTGAGTTGCCTCCAACTATTGGCGGCAAAGGAAAGTAGTGGTTAGGCAGTGGCAGTCCTACATGATGACCATCTAACTGTTGACGTAGAATTAATCTCAGTTGATGTAAAAGCAACTGTATATAGTTTTAGGTACCTGTTGACGTAGAATTAATCTAGTGAGTACCATCAGTAGGTGCGAGTATTCTAGTGTGTTAGGGAGCTCACCTCAGTTGATGTAAAAGCAACTGAGGGAGCTCGAGTACTGTCCGTTGATATGACCCATTTTTATTTGAGTCTATAATGCAGTAATTATGCATTTTCAACTGTAAAGTACTATCAGTGATGCTGAGACTGAACAGTACATTGTATTCCGAGAAAACACACAGAACTACACAGTGATTGCATCTGAATGACACTTAAGTGGGTCTTCATAGCATAATACAGTTGTATTTCCAAATAATAAAGCTCTAATACTAAAACCCACACTTGTGTTTGACTTGGACTGTGACAATATCTGCAGGATTAAAGTGTTCCGAGCTTCATCTTTGTATGACATTGCAATAGAGCTGAATGATTAGATTAAAAGATAACAATACTCCGGACCTCTGGAGTTAATTCCGAGAATATCAGAATTGATTTAGCATATGTCCCTCATCCGGAAAGTATTCCGAGGTACAGCATGATTTCCATCAAAGGTAGCACATGGTACAACAGGTCCACATGCTACTCCGAGATGCAGCATGATTTCCATCAAAATCAGCACATGCTACAAGAATTCCACATGCTACAATGATTGATATCAGTTGTCAAGGGTTGTTTTGAGGATATATAAGGAGGGTGCTGGCCTCTAAATAAGAACAAGCACTTTCCCCCCCCCACTTCTGAGAGGATTTGGTTGGTTGGTTAGTAGCTTCTGGCTGTAGTGACAAGTGCACTTTAAACAAAGATGATACAGTGTTAACTTTCACTTTAAACAAGTTAGAGTTTAAGAAAGATAGAAAGAAAGAAAGTTCAAAGTCACAGATTACCATTATGCTTCAGAGTTAATAGCAGTCAGAGTGCTGTGAGTAGTGCACACTCTTTCTGTGGATTGTACTTGTAGTGTATAATACAAATCAGAGGTTTTGTTCAGTTCAGATAAAGTCAAAGAAAGATTTAGCATGCCCGAGTTTGATAGAATCTCGAGAAGAAAAACTATTCAACCTATACATTATACCCACATGATGTAGATATTTGTAGAGTTGCAGTGTTATCTTGCTTTTTCAATGATAAACCCCCTTGAACTTAGTGTTTGATGATGGTTTGTGTTGGTGTTGGTGTGAGTGTTAAAGCTTGCATTAGCATTTTATGCATAGCCCAGAGTCAGCATATCATATGGAGCCCACCGCGAGGGGGTTTTAAAGCAGAAAATACTTGCACTTTGCATTATCTTCATCCAAAAAGCAATGACAAGTTCACTCTGGACTTGTTTAATATTGCACATCATATTGGTCCATGTAACTTGGAAGTTTGAGCAATACTTCAGACAATGCATCTGAGCTGAACCACACATCTTGTCCAACTTGTGCATTACCTGTTGTTAATGAATTACTTAAGCTCCAATCAACTTGTACATGTCCACCATATCCAAACTAAACTACTTTGGAAAATAAAACACTAGGCATAGTGAAATGCTTCGAACTCCTTGCCCTTCAAACCCCCTGCTGGGGCCCCTCTATTGCACAGAATGGTTAACTGCATACTACTGTTGCAGTTATGTCTTGCAATTGCCTGAAATTATTCCATATTACTCTCTGTATTAAAAAGTCTTCAACCAAAGACACCAAAAACATTGGAAAAGTCCTTGATTTGAAAAGAATAAAAACACAAGAAAATCTGGCAAAGCACAAAAACACTCAGAAAAAGCAATAAAGCTCAAAGATATTAATTTCACTTGTACTTTTCTCTTTGATTCTTGACTGCTTCAACAGCATCAAGTGTTGTAACATTATGAAACATTGTTATAGCTTCAACAGCTGTCATATACCAAGGAATAGAACTCTGTACTTCTACCATGCAGAGGTTGAAGTATGCTATATTTATTTGAGAATGTTTGATTTAGAGAGGAACCTCAAAGTTGAAAGCATAGCAAGTAGAGAATGAAATTGAAGAAGCTATGGGATGCATCCCTTGCTTTTGCAGTATATCATGCAGGAAATGAATGCTTATATATCCTGAAGAATTTAATTCTGCACATTAACCAAGCACAAGTTAAATTATTCTATATTTATTTGCATGCAAGATATAGAGTTGATTCTTGAAGTGTAAAGCTTGGAAAGTCCAGAATGAAATCAGGTGAATTTCCGAGTTTGAAAGAAGTTGAACAGACTATGGGATTTGACACTTAGTTGCATCTCAGAAAATAATCACAGAAATCATGTCAAGGGAATGATAAACTGGTTTGAATGCAACTTGACAGAAAGAAGAAATGAATGTTGGACTCTGTTTTGCATGTTCTGTATCTAAGAGAAGAAGTTAATCTGGAGACACAGAAAAGCTTATGTTTCAAAAGAGGCTTTGATTAGAGAACTATAAATGAAGTTAGTAGTTGTTATCTTGAAAATCAGTCTGAGAACACAACTGGAATAGACAAGAAGCTTCAACCTTGTAAATTCATAATTTGTCTGAATTGAATATTCAACAAGTTTCATGATTGTTGATGCTTTCTTTGATAAAGCAACACCACTTGTAGTTCAAGGAATGATGAGATATTGAACAGAGTTTATGAATAATGAGCTTGATATGGGAATTGAATCTGAAGTGAGTTGGTCTTGAGTTCATGGACTTCATAAGATGTATTGAAGAAATGTATACTGAATACATGTGTACAAGAGTGAAAATGAAAAGAATGACTTGTTGCAAGTCCTGAAATGAAGATTTGAGAATTGAGACACAAGAGGAGAACTTCTCATCAATTATTGGTTGAAGTTCAAAGTTATAGACACAATCCTACTTGGCAATGAAAAACAACAGTACAGTGTTAAGTTGGGAACTGTTCACAGCAAAGGCTTGAGAAGGTGCATGAATCATAGTCTTGTTTATGAATTTGTTACATTCTATCTGATATCAAAGTCAGCATAGTTTGTATCTATACAACTTTGAAAGTAAATGAACATGGAAATCATGCTGTAGATATTTAACAAATATCCGAATTTGATGGTCCTGTATAATAGAAAAGAATT